AAATTTTTAAATTTTTCAGGACAATAGTTTAATGTTTTCACTGCGAATACAAAAAAAAATTAATTAACAATCCAATAAATGCTACTTGCATATCCACAACAGAGTTTGAAGGCTCGCGATAACGATTGCCGTATTACTGATTAAGAAACCGATACGTGCAGGCTACGCATACTCCAATTGCATATGCATGTATTTGTGTATATGTGCTTTTGAAGTTGGAAAATCAATTGGACAGACATACATCCCAGCTAACCATCTTAAGAGCCCTTCGAAGCAAAGACTTCTAAGAGAGTTCGACTTAAGCGCTTGCTCTCAGCACGCCCATAAATGAGTATTCAATGAGTGCTAAAAGAGTAGTAAACAAGAAAGAATAGCCGGTATTTGCTCATGCTGAAGCTTTAAGGATTAAATGGTTAGCATTGCGTACTACTTTCCGGAAGGCCAGGGTTCGAGTCCTGGTCCGACCAACATCTAAAAATTAGAGAAAATTAATTTTAATAAAAAAATTAAGTTAAATTTTCTGATTGCGATCGCTGGGAGTGTCGACCCCTCCAAATGTATTTATGACATGAAAATAAAAGTTTTTCATAAAAAACCCATCAGTCGGCTTAATAAAAACTGTAGGCCCCGCCATTGGTTGGTAAAACACACCAAAACGCATACTACAAATGGGAGGGAGAGCTCGGCCGAAAATCGCTGCAACGTTTACAAAGGGGTTACCTGCGTGTACTACCTTTCTCCAACGACTTGGTCCGAGGTCCGGTCTATAAGGTGTATGCATAAGAACTTCTCAATTAAATAATTGAAGCTTCTGGCGATTTACTATCGATATATGTGATTATTTTCTTCCTATAAACCAAAGTCGGGCGCTTCTGGCTACAGACGGTCTAATTGCTGACTGCTAAGGTTCAAATTAAAGGATTGGCCGTAGCTAATGACGGACGGAACTCTTACTACCGTTTAGAGTTCAGTAAGCTTCACGTCATATTTTGCACATAATTTTTGCTTTCGGATGCAGAATACCAACAATTTCAAGTAGCCAAAGTCTGTTAGCTTGATGATCTAAGTGGGTTTATTGTTCAATTCTCTAAGCGGAACTGGTAAGTCCACCCCCACGTGCTATTCATAAAGGACTTCGGCTTTAGCCAAGAGCTCTGGCATGTAATTAAGGTGCACTTTTCTTCCTCATTCCACTTCAGATCCATATGTATGTAAATATATCCAACACCTTGTTCGCGAACTTGAGCTCTTTTCCCCAACCATTCGTTTTAATTATAACTGCCAGTAGATTTTTAAAGATGATGATTTTAGGCATGTAGCCTCGAGACACCTGGGGCTTTGTTTTCGGTCAAAGCTTCGCCGGTGAATAATTCAATTCTTACCAAAGCAAGAGTGCATATGTATGTATGTATTCATAATTCAGTTTCATATAAAAGCCTTTAACCGGAGATTTAACGGTAAAATGTTCACTGGGTATTTGGCGAAGCGGTTACAAGTCATGGAGGATAAGATTAAACATTGGCGTTTCATTAACTCTGAACACCACTTCGAGCTTGCGATGTCCGTCTTGAAGTTTTCCCAACTAAAGGTTGGACCTCCAAACTGTTGGCGAAATTTTATGAAGAGCTTTTTACTTCATGTCAGATATACTCTCCTATGAGTGGCACTCACTGGCGAGGGGCGACCGTAATTAAATTTCTCTAATCCAGCATCCACTTGCCGTTGGGGTTTAAATATTAAAAAATAGAATATTATATATAAATAAAAGATTAAATTAGCTTGAAAGCTCGGAGTCTTTTTTGAGACTTTTCGTTTGCTGGTATATCCTTGTACTTATATATATGTATCTATGTATGTATGTATGTATGGTAGGACCTTCCATTGAATAGATAGTAAAACAGGGCTGGATGATATTTTGGGGGTAGTTTTTTATGTTTTATTTTGTCTACAAATGTAGAACACACAAACACAAACACACACATATGTTGATGAGGAAGAGTCAATAAGTACTTATGGTGTTTTTATAGCCGGCTATTCAACTTTTTCGTGTTATGTCTTTAGCACTTTTTCAGCAATGTTTGCTCGTTTCTTAGGTTTTTCTCTGATAAGTGGGCTTGACTTGTTTCTTTCCGCTGCGGGACAATAACCCTCATCGTACCAGTTATTTTTGTGACCTTTTCGAAAACGATTAGTTTGGTCTGCACCTGTACGTAGGGAGCTGGAAAAGCCGACCCATATACTTTTTATACCGAGAAGCTGATGAGAGTTCTCAGAGGCCATGTGTGCAAGTTGAATAAAAAAAAACTCTCCGGATGTCTGTTGTGATTTCAGCTTTTCGTAGACGAAAAGTTCTTTTCTGCACTCAGACGGGTGCGTACCTTTACTGGTACAAGATAGTTGAAAAACTTCGTTTTGCTGCGGATTGGTGCGCGAAGTTCATCCACCGTCGTGAATGTATGGGCTCGGCGATGGAGCCTTTCTCACCCCATGAATCCGCCACGCGCGCCTTTATATGGCCGCAGCAGTAAATCTCAGAAGAACCTACTCGACTCCATCCTTGACCTTTCCATTACACCACTTGGGTGGCGGTCATGTCAACCTTTAGTCTTACGAGTAAATCAATCAGCCGGACAACGGCCCACTTCCAATTAATAGATCGGACATTCCAGGTGCATGCCCCTAAATTCGTGTGCAGTACAAACCCAGCTCACAACCTCACTAGGCGAGTAGGTTTAAATATAGCACACATTTATATAGCAAATCGCTTGCTTCAAGACCGACGCCGGATTGGATTCCCACGCCGAAGCTTCCTTTCTTGTAGCCGCGACCTAAGATTCAAAGCGAATAGAATAATGCTGAAGAAGTCTTATAAATAGTAAAATAGAGACTTTAGGTGATTTATTCGTAAACTAGCGGTATAAGCTTATTCATTCTACTACTATTTTCCTCCTAATCAAGCAATTCGTAAAATTTTAAATAAATTCGAAGATACTGGATCGGTTACTGATGTTTTAAGGCCAGTGCATCATCGTTTTGTGTGTAGCCGTAGACTCGAATGTTTTTATTTCTCGATGCTCCCAAGAGCTAACACTTTCTTGCGGCGCTTATGACGTATTTGGACTTGGACTTACACCTGCATCTATATAAAGTTCACTTCACACAACAACTCAAGTCAGTTGACCATACATACGTTAATTGGGTTCTTGAACAATGAACAGTGGGCCGCACAAGTAATGATGTCAGTTTGCTTCACCTGATCTAAAATCCTAATTGCTATTCCAATGGAAAAGGGCCAGACTGTAACTGCAAAATAATACACCGAAGAGTGCTTACGAAAAGTTTTCAAAAATTTGTTGGAAAGCAGGAAGAAAGAGCATTTGCGGTGCTACTCTTTACATCGTGATAACGCCTCATTCCACACTGCTGAGATAACGAGTAATTTTATTGTGATCTCTGGGATCGATGAAATATGTCAAAAATTAAAAGCAAATTTAAAAGGAAAGGTCTTTAATAGCAACAAAGAAATAGCTAATCCTGAACTTGATAAGCATAAAAAGCAATATTTTGAAGACTGTTTTCTGAAGTGGATCTTAAGGTTTAAGAAAGGCATTGAAATTAGTGGTGATTATGTAGAGAAGATAGAACAAGACAAAGATTACGAATAAATACGATTTTTTTAAATCTTTTTCTGATCAACATACCGAACTTTTGTTAATCCCCTCGTACATAGGTCATAAAATCGAAGAATTTCTTTTGAATACTCCTTAAGATTTCGTAGATGCTATTGTCCGGCATCTAAATAAATAACCAGTTAAGGCAACGAATTTTCAGAGTCATCAGTGGCGCAATGGTTTTTGTCGATTGACTTTTGTCCAAGCTGTGCGGATTGAAATTCTTCTCTAGATTCATTTTCGCTTTTTATTTTCCGAAATTGGCAAATTATCAATCGTCGCTAGTTTTTGTGCATGTATGACCCATTCATATACATACATAACTAATAGACACACCATATTGTAATCATGTACGCATTTTCCGCCTATACGCGTGCGCACTGTGCAATCGGTTTTTATGAGTTGCTGTGGCATAGTTGGTAGCGCGCAAATGCTACATACATATTTGGTATAATTGCTTAAATTTTTATTTTTCAAACTACTTTCGAAGGAGTCAATATCATTTACTCAAATTAAATTAATTTTTTATTTTAATTAATTTTATTAAATATTTGTTTTATATCAATAAACAATTCAAAATGTAAAGAACATAGAAATAAAAAAAACATCATTTATAAAATTTATTTTTTTGTGGTGAGGTGGCGTAGTTGTTAGTGCGTGCGTACATTTATATTTTTTATTTATTTTTTCCTCTAAGCGAGCTCAAATTCCTCTCGCTGAAATATACATTTTCATAATTTCTTTTATTCAATTTTTATAATTATTTATTTTATATTTACTAATATTTTTCGTATATTTATGAAAAAAGAAATAATAAAAGTAAAAATAAACAAATAAAAGCAACAAAATATAACATTTCAAATTAAAATTTATTTATTTTTTTTTTTTAATAAATTTAAATTGTTAAAATTATTAGTTTTTTTTGTAGTTTTGCGTTGATTCGTTTAGTTAAATGTCCAGAGCGAAGGAATACATTAACATAGTGAAATTAATTGCATCCAATTTCTTTGTTTTTAGCAGATCACTTGTCTGCCTCTGTTAAAAAATAATTATTTTTTGATGGCTGTTAAATACAGTGTGTTGAATTCGTTTCCCGAGATTTTTCAGAAGTTGTTAGAGGATTTATAAGAGGTGCCATGAATTTGCACCTACTCATTATTATAAATGCAATAAATCATAAATAAATGCACACAATCCTTTGAAGGACCTTTTAGGGTAATGCAAATAGTTTCACAAATTTTACGTAGTTCAAAACCAACGTAAAACAGTTCCAATCCTTAAAGCATCTTATAGAGTATAAAAGTGTTCTTGAATTAATTCAACAATTATACGGTAGGGAAAGTATTTTATTAAATAGAAATTTCTACATATTTGATACTACGAACTTTGTATATTTATTTAGGGCACGCATTTTGCGCTATAATCAATAGAAAAACCGCCAACAACATTACACAAAACACATGCGTTGCCTATTATTACGTAACTAACATTTCTGAATACAATCCGCTCTTATTTATAATAATACAATATATATATATCACGTTTAACACATCAGATCCCTGAAAGCGTCATCATCATCGTCATCCATAAAGACATCTTCGATATTTTCCAACTCTTTACTCAAATCCAACTTTTTTGCAGCATCATTAGATGCGCTTGAGGTGTGCTTGGGTTCAAAGTTTTCGGTAACACGCTCATTATTATTAATTGCTTGGATATCCTTCTTTATCGGTGAGTAGTATTTTTCGATGCTGTGAGACTGTTGAAAGAAAATATTTATTTTATTTACTTAAAAATTCAACGCCTCATAAAGGCCTACATACCCCAGTAGGCGCCGCAGTGTGTGTAGCATCTTGCAAATCTTCACAAAAGAGACCAGCTCGATTTAAGACTTCCTGTTTATTTTTCAGCATGTTCCATATAACATCGTCTGCCGTTTTGGCAGCCATTAGGTAACGACAAATAATTGGTTTATCCTGGCCTATACGATGTGCGCGACTTTCAGCCTGTGCTAAGGTCTAAAACAAAGTCAACAGAAAAAGAATTGAATTTATTTTAGCAGCTATTTGTATGCCAGTAAAGTTTATCTTACACTCGGATTCCAATCCAATTCAGCGAAAACAATCATTTCAGCAGCTGTTAGCGTGATGCCAGCATTACAAGCGCGCAAGGAGAGCACAGCTACTTGGCACGAGGATTTGGTTTGAAATTTATCAATATTTTCCTATATCAAAATATAGAGCTTTAGCAATAAAACAGTGTGTGTGACTTGCTTAAAAACTCTTACCGCTCGGATTTCATTTTTTGTACTGCCATCAATGCGTATAAAATTAATATTTAATTTGTATAAACATTCAGTAATCGCATCTAACATTGTACGATGGTGCGCAAAGACAATGAATTTGATTTTATCTTTTACTAAATTCTTGAGGTAGGCACTGTTTAGAAAAAAAAACATAAATAAATACAAATACTTGGCAAAGGCGACAAATAGACTTTTTCAAATTTACTAATTTACCAAACAGCACGCGTTTTAACTTCTGCCGTTGTTGAGTAAAACTTAAGCAGTATTTCTTCACGCTCACGCCCTTTACTTGATGAGAAATCCTTACTAAGTGCTTCTAGATTATGTTTTGCATCGTTGTTGATTGTTAAGAGCGCGGGATCTAAGACAACTGTTTCGCTTTAAAATAAATATTTTCAGATTATGAGAATAGAGTACATCAATATTTTTATAGATATTAAAAAAATGCCAAACTTACCGATGTTTCTCAGCTAATTGTGGTAGAACAACTTCCTTTGTACGCCTTATCATAAATTTTAGTTTTAGCACCACATTTAATTCCTCTAAATTCGATTGCCCTGAGGCATCCCAGCCAAAGTGGCTTTGCTTGCCATCACAGTAACGGGTGGCTATTAAAAATAAATAAATAAATAGAACTGTTAAGCATTTCCTGCGCCTTGCAGGTTAACTCATTACATACTGTATTCCATATATGTCATAAATTTGCGGTCAATCAAGTGAATTTGTGTAAATAGCTCCAGTGGCCTCGACAGCGCCGGTGTGCCGGAGAGCAAAATTACATGCCGCGCTTGCTTGGTCAAACGCTCGGCCACCATAGCGCATTTGGTTTTTGAATTTTTCAAAGTGTGAGATTCATCAAAAATTATAAAACCAAATTTACATTGCAAAAGCTTCTCTACATGCTTATCCATCATATTGTAGCTGGTAATGAGAATTTTTGCATCACCGATATATTGTTGATTACTCATTAGTGTTTGTGTGTAATGCACAGGAACGTGTGGTAGAAGGTCGTATATATGCTTTGACCAAGATTCACTGAGGAAGAGATTGAATATACTATGTAATAATAAATTGATTTAGAAATCGTTGAAAAATTATACCGTATAGAAGCGGTGGTGCAAATTAATAATGGCCAGGATTCTTTATAAAAGTCAGCCACAGCTAAAGCTTGATATGTTTTTCCAAGACCCATTTCATCACATATCATAAGGCGGCCATGATTTGCAATAGCAAAACTGGAAACCGATAAAAAGTTTATAGATATAAATTCATAGTACGCACTTTATATTTAGTTTATTCTTTCTTACCAAACACCTTCTTGTTGAAATGGCATTAGTTTCTGCGCCAATTTTGGCTCAATTGAAGCTAAACATGATCTATCGGTTTCCACCGCCGGTGCGCGGCAAAGTGAGATTACACTTTTTGGAATCGTGCCTATGACGACATCGGGATACATGCCTGATACGCGTTCTTGCAAGAGTTCATAATCTTTTAGCCCAAAACTCCAAATGTGTTTGTTATTATCTACAGTAAAAGTTATTGGAAAAGTATTTTAATTTAAGTATAAGTTTTGTCCGTAAGTATACAAACCATAATATTTTGACGGTATACTCTTAAAAACATCAATCAGTTTTCCGTGAAAACATGAAGGTTGTACGACAAACCGAGCTTTGTTTATCATATATAATTTACAGCTCACTTTTGTGGTAAAAACAGGCGCAAGTTGTTGTTTTTGTTCGGAATTCAATTTTAGTGATTGTGTACGAGTATTATTCGACTTGTTGGAAAATCCTTTATGTTGATAAGGATGCGTTGCATCCCTTGCTTTATTGGCATAGCTTCCAATGTTACTGCGTTTCAGATCATTTAGGAAGTTGAGCGCAGCAGTTGTGGGTTTCGGTGCAGTATTTTGCTGTTGTGGCACATGGTTTTGCTGCTTGAAAAACGTATTCGGTGGTATGCCGGCTGTAGCCGTTCGTGGCTGAATTTGCGTAGTGGGTCCCACTTTGGGTTCTGTTGCGACGGAGTTGGCCAAACGTTGTTTCTTGGCCGCTAATTTCTCCAATGCTATGCGTCTTTTTTCTGCTACTTCAGCTGCACTACAGACGGACATTTCAGTTGATTTAATTGCTTTTATTTTTTCAAAAACAACAGGAATCTGAATTTCATAAACAAATGGGGAAAAGCGCGTATAAAGAAAATAAAATATTTTTTGAATTTACAGCTGTTTTTTTGTAACAGCTCTGACACCAATCTTCAATGTTGCCAGCTGTCTTAACCATTCATAAGGTGTCAGAAGACTTACCTTTCAATTCTTTACATGTTAATCCACAATATCTCGTATTAACAGTCTTGCAAGATATATAAGCGTTAAATAAATTATTCCACTATACAAAGCAATTTGTTTTTATGAAATCGCATAATAAGATTTATGGAAAATGGGGGCCACTCATCGCAAATCACACGTAATAAATTATTGAATTTTAACTCTCCCTTTTGAGACATTTTTAATAGTTCAAATCAAAACATTATGTTGACAAATCAAATGTCCGACTTTCAAATACCCGTGGAGCAATATATTCCGATATATTTGCATAATAAATACTTCTCTAATTTGTCATACCACTCCATAAATATTGTTACGATTTTACTAAATCAACCTCGATTATTTTCTAAAACCTTCGGGTACGATCTCTGGATTGTTAAATAAAAACTCGCCAATTCAATTTGCAGTTTCTTTCGTTATAAAGATTTTATCTAATGTCTTTTATTTACTCCGTAATTCACAATACGTTTACAATACACTCTACTATTTACAATCCCTATCATCAACTTGCACAATTCACTCTACTTAAATGTACTCTCCAACGTGTTTACTTTACGACTTTACTGATGTTAACGCCAACGAGTTTACTTTATCACTAACTTCTTGCAGCTGAGTGTCGCCTTTATATAGCAGTCGGCTGCTCGCAGACGAAAGCGTAGAAGCATCGAATTGTTCGCTATGGAAGGTTCTTGTTTTATCGTTTCTAGAACGTACTAGTTATCGGCTTCTCTCTTTCATCTGACATTCGCCTCGCATTTTCGCAACAATATTAAGTAACAGTGAATAAGTAATTTAGCCTACAAGTAGTATTGGTTTCATCACTCTCCTCTTCTCCATATGGCTGCTCAACGATAGCGATACTTTTGGTCGTCCCTGAATTATTTCTGCAATGTTATCGTTCTTTGAAACACCCTGTAGAGAACGTAAGCCCTGAGAAGTATCAGCTGTTTCGTTGCTGTGAATCAGTAATCAAAATAAAAATAAGGAAATACGAAAACAAAGAGTACGCAGTTAAGCCAAACAAGTTTTTGTGAAAATTATAAATATAAATACTAGTCTGTAGCAAATAAAAATAAAAAAATATTTCACGTGCGCTAGTTATTTGTAAACATAAAATGTGTAGTTTAGAACCGGAGAAGGATCACTTGGATTCAGAGGATTCAGCAAACCCCGCAGAAGATACCACAGTCGAGCTATCATTATTCGATTTAAGTTGGCAGGATGTTTTGATACCTATGCTAGCGGATTTTCTCAGTCTTAAAGACCTCTTCAATTTGCGTTGTTGTTCGCGAATCGCTAAACGCTTTGTGGAAGCGGCATTTGAACGTCGAAAAGATATTAATTTAGCTGGTATTAATAGTCGAAATATTGAATTAGCATTCGCTGTTCTTGGGAAACATTGCCATCGCATTGAAAGTTTGCACTTGGCCCGTTGCCATTGGTTAACAGATGAATATTTGCTGCCCATTTTAGCTGAGAACACACGTTTACGTGTAGTAAACCTAAACGAATGCGTTAATATCACGCCACTTGCATTACAACCGATCATCATTGAATGCAAGGAATTGCGTATTTTGAAACTCTCCAAATGCCAATGGCTAACCACTGGCGCAGTGGATGCACTAACTTTACATCATAGCAATTTAATGGAATTTGATATTTCATATTGTACAGCAATTGGAGAACGCTGCTTGATTATATTTTTCCGCAAATTGAATAAACTTCAAGTCTTATCTTTGGCAAATACACCCAGTGTGACTGATCAAGTGCTAATACAGATCGCTAACTATTGCCGTGGACTAGAGCATATTAATTTAGTTGGCTGTGCCGCCATTTCCGATTATGGCATACAGTTAGTTTATTTATGTTTCTTCTATAATTTTTTTTTGTTAAATACTTTCTTTTACTTACAGCATTCTTACTACAACATGTCAGAAGCTACAATCATTGATGGTGCATCGCTGTCCTAATGTGACTGAACGAATATTGGCACCGCTACGTGGACGCCTTTTTATAGATCGACCGCAATTGGGTTATAATCTTCAAGCGTTGCCTGGACAAATTAATTGTTTGTATCTGCAGGTTTAACTTCATTAATTAATATCAGTATTTAAGGCTAGGTCACATTAGTAATTCATAATGCATATACTTTAAGAAAACCTAATATGTAGTTTTCACAACATTTTGAATTTGTTGTCTAAAAAAAAATCGATATTATCTTTTCCATTTAATTAACAAATTCAAAATATCGCCTAAAAAAGTTTTCTTTTATCGGTAGAACCCTCCATTATATCAGCTGTTATTGTTTATAAGTGTTCATATTCAAAATAAAAGAGGCGAAATAATAAACAAAAGAATACGCAGTTAAGCAAAATTTTCCTTTGTTATTGAAATAAACAATAATAGAAAATATTTTAAGTGAGGTAGAATTTTTGAATTCGACAATGTGTAGTTTAGAGACAGAAGAGACTCACTTGGCTTCAATGGCTTTAGCACGATCCACAGATATTACTATAGGAAAAGTGTCATTATTCGATATAAGTTGGCAGGATGTTCTGATACCAATGTTTGCAGATTTCCTCAGCATCAAGGACTTATTCAATTTTCGTTGTTGTTCTCAAACTGCCAAACGCATTGTGGATGCAGTATTCGAGCGACGTAAGAATATTAACTTGGCTGGTATTAATAGTCGCAATATTGAACTAGCTTTTGCTGTTCTCGGAAAACGCTGCAAGCGTATTGAAAGTTTGAATTTGGCTCGTTGCCATTGGTTAGCAGATGATTTATTGTTGCCCGTATTAGCTGCAAATAAACGGCTGCGTGTGGTAAATCTGAACGAATGCGGTAAAAATACACCAATAGCACTGCAACCGATCATAAATGAATGTAAAGAGCTACGGATTTTGAAACTCTCCACCTGTCAGTGGTTACCCAAAAAGTCAAAGGACGTGTTGTCTATGTATCACAGCAACTTAGTGGAATTCGATATTTCATATTGTTTTATAATTGGAGAGCGTTCATTGATTAAAATTTTCAGTAAATTAAATAATCTTAAGATATTGTCACTGGAATGTACACCCAGCGTAACCGACGAAGTGTTACTACAAATCGCTAACAACTGTCACGGATTAGAATATATCAATTTAGTTGGCTGTACCGCCATCTCAGACTATGGTATACAGTAAGTTATGTTATTTAAAATGTGCATATCTAAAAAAAAAAAGTTGCTTCGAGCTAAGTGACTCTAGCTAAAAGCCTTTTGTAGCCAAGGTACACAGTACCTAATTCTCTTAACTTCTTCTCTTTTTTCTTTTAACAGCGCAATCGCATCTAATTGCAATCAACTCCTTTCATTATTTGTGCGACGTTGTCCCCGTGTTACGGAGCACTCTTTAGCACCTTTACGTAAACGTCTGTACATCGACCGTGAGATAGAAGTGTTCTCTTATCTTAATGTGTTTTATCCCACCGATTTTCTTGTATATTAATAATGAAAACTAGTATAATTGGAAAAAGCGCTGCCTTAGATCAAATTGGAATTAGTAAGAGATAACTATCTCTGTGCACTTGTAGCAATAAAGGGTGTACCTACAACTTTAGCTTGAATTATTTCATAAAAAACTTGTTTTAAGTATGGTTTAATGGCTGGTTTCCTTTTAGAAATTTAATTTTAAACCAAGTTTAGTTGTTGAATTTTATTTACAATATCAATCAATATAATTAAATACTTTTAAAAAATAGTTGTGCTTATGTCATAATTCACAATAGTTACTCGTTGCTCATACCGTGACCGGAGTATTTGACTTAACGGATTGCGGAAGCTTTAGAGTAAATAAAAAAATTCATAGTGCAAAAATAATTATGATTTGATTTTTTTGAAAAAAAAAAAAAAAAAAAAAATGAAATAAAATAATAATATAAAATTTAATAAACGAGAAATTACAATGGATTTGCCTAAAGAAGTGAAAAACGCATAAAGCTAAATCAAATACATATCCATTCACTTCCTTTCCCTCTTTCAACAAAATCAAACTAGCTTAATATATATCATATGAGTAAAACAAATGCTACTTATTGTGCTTTTATAAGCGGCGAGGTATCGGACGTTGATTTATCATCACTATTAAGCTTTGATGCTGGCGTTTCCTTAGTGGCAAACTTGTCATCTGTACTTTCAGCTTGCCATTGAGCATGTAAGTGTTTAAGATGATTGTAGGCACGCATCGACATATTCAAACTGGGCTTTACCTCGGCCAAACCCGGTTCATTCATAAATGACAAACCGCATAGACCTAAATATGTGTGGAACGGATCTGTTGTAGACTGTGGCCATTTGGAAAAACCACCAACAATGTTGTCTTGTGTTTCCATAAGGTATGCACGATTTTCTTCATAATCTGTTAGCTCAAAGGCACCTAATATGCGTAGCGCTGCTCCAATCCAAAAAGAATAACATGTGTCTACCATTTTATTTGGGCGACCTTGAAAACCATTTACCTGCATATGTATATGGAAAAAGAAATATTAAAAGGAAAAAACTTGGTACTCTTTCTGTTGTAAATTTACCTGTCTGAAAATTAGCCAACGTTTGATATTTTCTTTTGTATCTTCGTCCAAGCGATGCAGTTGGCCGCTCAATTCAAGAGCTGCTAATGCGCAGAACGAAGTACCTCCATGTGCTTCACCCTCCAAATACTGACTGAAGCCGTTATCATAACGCTGTAAGATAAAATGTATTTTACCTATTTTTTCTACATTTCGATCTATAGCAATTACTTACTATGCAACTAATTATGAACTGATACATTTTTTCCTTATCAACGTTGCCCCAATAGTCTAGCATGTGACAAATTGCAGCTGCACAAAACACGAAACGCATATCATTCTCGCTACCATCAATGCTGGCACTGAAACTGCCATCAGGACGTTGTACCGCAGCAACACCTTTTATACGAATTTGAATAAAAATATATTTTTTTATACATTTTTTTGCTTAATTAGTGGTTAGCATACCATCGACAATACTTTTCCGATCCAAGCGACTTAAATCATCGCCAAGTGTCGCTAATAGACCTATGCCGGTATATGTCATCGCAAGATGACCCCACTGATAACATTTGGCATTCGCTTGTAATTGCTCATCATTCGAAATGATATTTACGCATCGTGAGCCCTAAAAAGAAATGAATGTCTGGTCAATTTGTGTAGAGTAAATTATATCGGTATGTATATGAATTTTTGAAGGCGATGTGATTGTTTGTAACAGTTAATTGTTAAAAAGACATAGTTTTTGAAAAAAGATATCGATAAGGCATGTAACTTCAACATGTTTAAAAATTGTTTAGAGATAACGCAAAAAGTGTGCACAGCAGTACTGCCGGTTTTCATGATGTGATATGACATATATGTATGTTATATTATATATGTAAAACAGATTCTGCACTTATAAGCTCAAACCAAATTATGTCTGTTTACTTAACAATAAGAGTTAAGTCATAACATATTTGTATAACAACTTAAAAAAATTAAGCAATGAAAGTATATTGAAGCGGCCTAACAAATGTAAACATAACCAATTGCAGTAATAGCCTTTAGCCTATGTTTTGTTAGTTCGAGTCAAACGTTGAACTGCACGTATGTGTTTCTAGATAACAAGAAACGAGTACATATGAATATATGTATATTTGAATATTAATATGTTTACATGTATTTAGATAAGTACATAGAGCTCACGAAATACCGTCACTTGCCACTCACTTTTGATTAATGACTTTGCGCACAACTTGCTTGTATTATGCTTATATTTATTTACCTGAAATCCACAACAACTTTGTTGCCCGTCTTCAAGTGAAGTCACAAGTCCACCATAAATCCATTCAATAACATCCTTTTGCATTTGATTTGAAAGTAGAGACAGCGATTTTAGCACATCCAGACCACAAACTGCAAAAAATGCTATGGCACCTCTGTTCATAGGAATTAATATTTTATATTCATATATACCGTTATAATGATATTTGAAATTTACCTAGTGGAGTCATGGGAAGCAAGGCGTGCAGGTAGCAAATTGAGAAATCTTATACAGAATTTAGCATGCTTGTGCATTAAAACTGGTTCTCGCTTAATACCTTCTATATTCACTGCATCATGGGACATTTTACCTTTCACTTATTTCCTTGTAAAGTAATTATTGGAACGTTTTATTGTTAAATACTGGTTAAGTTGCTGCAAATGTTTCCGCTGAAAAGCGTGTTCGTATATAGCGTAGAAGTATGTTTATGACTAATACCAAATCACCGATTACTGTAATTTATTATTCATTTATTAATAATCGTAACTCCACCGGCCATGGGCAATCAAAGCAGTAGCCAATCCACAAAGTTTGTTTGAACCTTCCTTTGCACAGCGAATACTTACATCCACATTGGTAGCTTGTGTATAATAAAATGTTTAAAATTTAATGTTTTACTTGTTTTTTGTTACTTGATGCTTTGTTTATGAATTTTGGTTTGACTAGTGGGTAAAAAATAATGTATAAAATTATTAACTCGCTATGCTACAAAATATCGGGCGAATTGTACTCAGAGAATGCTTATCAACAGCTGATTGAGATACAGGGTTGTTTTGTATAAAAAATTAAGAATTGTAAGCAAATTAAATTTCACATTTTGCAGTTATTTTTTTATTTATTTTATTTTTTTTAAAGTATAACTTTTTTCCATGACCATTATTTTATTGTTCTAACTTTTTCGTTTTTTCCAACAACTGTTTAATTTCTTAATTTTCGAACGCATCGTAACTGACAATCAATCAGCTGTTTTTTAGTAGCACCGTAAATTGCATTCACGAGTTTCCTTTGCCTTTTCGTGAGTGATTTTGTAACCAAAATTTCTGGAGAAGATGAGGCTAACACAGTTTGTGTGCAGTAAACTAAAGAATTTCTCAAATTTTCCAAAGGAATACATTGAGAGAAGTAAGAAACAGGTTAGTTTTGAATGTTTCATTTATTTAGAGTCTTAGTATTAATGCAAAAGGCCGGGCGAGCTTGTGAATTATCAATCTACAAATGTTCTATTAAAGGTATATTGGAAAACCCCCTCCGGTGTCCCTAACTATTTGCAACGCACAGTAGAACGCAAACGTTTTCGGTATACAACTAATCGACCATGGACAGGACAATTCCGCCAGCAAAATATGCCCGGTACTATTCGTAAGAAGGTCTTCGTTACTCCCGTGGGTAAGTAAAATATTTAAAGATTTATTTGTTAAATTATATTAAATTTATTAATTTGTAACAGAGGAATGGAGTTTCTTCCGTGGTGATCGTATTGAAGTGCTTGTGGGCAAAGATAAGGGCAAACAAGGTATTGTCACGCAGGTTATACCCGAACGCAATTGGGTGATCGTAGAGGGATTAAATTGGCATTATCGTACGGTCGGGGGTGAAGAAGGATTTCCGGGTGTATTAATCAAATCCGAATCGCCCTTGGATGTAAGTATATTTTTTTATAATTCCAGTGGCAATTATAATTTGGAATATATTTGCTAATTTTAGGTTACAAAAGACGTGCGTTTAGTAGATCCGTCAGATCTACAAGGCACCGATTTTGAGTGGCGTTATACAGAAGAAGGTGAGAAAGTACGTGTTTCTGCGCGTAGCGGCCGTATTATACCCATACCAGAAACAAATAATCAAACACATGATTTCAAAACGCCTAACGCTTATATTGAGCGTGAAAAGGATACGCCTGGTAAGAAAATTCAAACTATAAACAATTTTTTCACACGCTTATATGCATTTTCGTTTATTTTCAAGGCGCTGTTGTGGGTGAAATAACTTTCCAACCAAAGTTGGCGACTTTCGAAATGGATATTATGGAGGAGATGGGCATTGTAGAAGAGCGTACACCTAAGAAGAGTTATTGGTACTAAGTTTATCTACCTGTAGGTTTTTTTGGTTTTGAACAATGTTTTAATTTGTTAACAAATGTAAACTTTATAAATACGTAAAATGAAAAATGTTGAAACAATTATTGAGTTATTGAGATTTGTTACATTCTCATGCCGATTATCATTTCCGTGCAGCGGTAAAAATCTCCTCGCGATGATCTCTCAATGTCTTAGCTAAATTACGTACTTTCTCCTCAGCATTGTCGAAATCTTGACGGAGAGTTTTGTTGAACATCTCATATAACCACATTGATGCTTTGGACATATTACTCTCAAAGGAGGTGAATACCTTACTTGTGTGTTGGTATCTGCGGGCGAGAGTATAGTTTTTTAGTTTCTTTGCGAAATATTCTTTATCTATATATATGTGAAAGGTTGACCCACCTTGACATGTTTGCTATATCCGTTATCATGTATGTACTACAATGTTTAACTGCCAGCAGTTGGCGATTGCTTACGTGTTTTATTTCCACATGTGGTAGTGCTAATTGCGCACACTCCACCGATATTAAGGAGGCCTGTAGTGCCGTGCGACATTCCAAGGCGAGTTGAATTTTAATTTTTGGATCACTGCAAGCACAAAATAAAATAAAAAAAATAAGAAAAAAAAACATTTTTTTTACGTTGCTTTTAAATCATTTACTCACATCGTTTTGCCCAATTGCCGCCATTGCTTTAAAGCTTCTGTTGCCGAGGTAGCACTTGTGCGCAATAGGGTGCCACAAATACGCCATTGCTCTAAAGTGCTGCCCAACTTGTCGCGTACATCACGCGCAGACTCTAGTTGTGCATCAAGACTCTCTTCTAGGCGTGTCATATACGTGCCGCCGCTGATGAAGGCTGAACGGCGAGGAGATTTGTGTAAAAACTATTTGTATGCATATAAGAGGTGTGACAATTAAGTAATGAGACTAATTATATTGCCGTGATTGTGGTAACCCTGCGACCTTGAAATTCCCTTTCCCTTCTCCCGGTATCCTTGTTCTCTCCATTGATATATTTGCCATCGTTCTAGCTTGTTTAGTTTGCCTGCTGTGTCGTGTTGAGTAAACGTGCGTTCGTTGTGCTTATCACGAAAATGGAAAAACGATATCAAGAGCAACGCGTCCCTAAGTTGTAAAAGTTTATGTTGATAGTGCTCTTAGTCGTGCCCAGGTGTTTCGAAACCAAACGCCAAGGCGCCAAAAATGGTTGTCTCTGCACGCCCCCCGACGGAAAAAAGCTTGAGGACATACAGGCGGTCGTGACGAGGGTACTCGCGGACATCCCAGTCGAAGCCTTCCAAAAATGGAAAGCGCGCTGGAATCGTTATATGGCTGCCCAAGGGGACTACTTTGAAGGGGATGGCAGAGTTGTAGAATAATTTTGAAATATACGGTTTTTATGGAATCAGTCTCATTACTTAATTGTCACACCTCGTATATACATATATATATATTATCTATATATATATATATATTATATGTATATCAAAGTTTTTGTCGCACAATACTGTGTATATATTTATACCTATAATACCATCGTGATGCACATACAGCTCATTCAATTCATTGTAGCTCTCTGTTAGGGTTTTCAGTCGCACTTTCGTATGCTCCAATATTTCTGTATAGTATTGTATGGATGTTAGATAAAGCGCTGATTCGCTGAGGTTGGCAAAAAAGTCCTCATGAGTGGAAGCCTTATTTACATCACTAACAATACCCAAGTGTGCGGCAAGCTGGCGTCGAAAAGGGAAGATTCACATAATTACTTTTTGTTGTCATGAGTATTTGGTTCTTAGAATATTTAAATACAACGGTCCATTAAATAAGGTTTCTCAACCTTTGACGAGGTTAAGTTATTTCATAATTACGTTTAGTCAGTCATGTAAAGCAAGAAAAAAAAATAGTCTCTGAGCCTTTGTGTTCTTCACCTCGCATTTACTGTATTTACCCTTAATTAACTTCCGAATCAAATTAGCGACTTGAGTTTTGTAATTTTGCTAAGTGAGCAATCCGCCTGTGATTACGTTTGTTATTTCCTCATAATAAACAAACCTGCCATGGCGTATAAGTAACGGAAACAAATATTTCGTGCCACAGTGTTGTGAAAAATAAAGGCGTTTTCAATGATTTTTTATTTCCTCATAATAAACAAACTTGTCATAGCGTATAAATAACTGAAACAAATATTTAGTGCCTCAGTGATGCGAAAATTTTGGCGTGTTTGGATGAAGCTGGTTTATATAAATGGCGCTTTGCCACAGCTGAAGCGATTTTCGGCAGAGCTCTGCCTTAATATAAACCTTATATTAAACCGCCTCCGTAGGGCCGACGAATTTTTATTGAGACGTTTTAATTTCATGCCTGAAACAGGTTGCTTCTGTACTAAAAATTCGAATAGGTTAGGTTACACCCGCTGATCCTGTAAAGTGCCAGATGGAGGCCCATTTTGTCGTTTTCTAAAGTAGTCCCCGCATAGGACGTCAAAGTCTTTCGCTACCTTTGTTGGACCTGCAGATATTGGAAACAACCTGTTTCGACAGGCTCGGTCCAGAGGAAGAGCGATGTTGGATGAGTTGGTTTTAGAGGGCATGCAAAGAGCTGTTAAGTGCATGTTAGGCTTAGCGGAGTAAAGTCTGGATAAGCAAAAGTCAAGTCAGACCCTTATTGTGCAGAAATTACTCAGCTTTCACGAGGTAGCTGGAGCTCCTGGTCAATTATATGCTGTGGTTGCAGTTTATAACAGTTTATAGCAGCAGTGGAGAACAGTTTATAAATTCCTAACTATGATCTCTACGACAATATCCCAGCACCTATTGTGTTTTCTAAAAGCCAAGAGTGACTTTATCCCTAAGGTTGTAAATGTTGCATCAGACCGTTTCCGGTCCTGGTGCTCAAGGCGGTGTCTTATAGTTTTTCCCCGACGTCTAGATTAGAGCAGCGTAGTTATCGATCTTGTAGTTTGCAACCGACATGAATATTTCATTGAGGGTATATGCCGAATGTGACTCCCAGTAACATGGAATTATTTATTGTCGGAATTTAGATTCCATCGACTTTCACATCCAGTTCGAGCCAGTACATCTTCGTCTAACTGATGAAGAGGAAGCCGAGGTTTTCGTTGATTGCAGTTATACTTGTTGTACAGGGAGCGAGGTAGCGAATAAATATTACCAAAATCGATATTTATTGGCATATGAGATGTGGGAAAGGCGGAGGGAGTTTTGAAATATAGAAATTAAATAAAAGGAGAGAGAACACCACCTTGCGGAACCCCTTGATAATTTTTCGGAGATTTGAATTTTGACATCGACCACGCCGCTAATTCATGGTCCGACTTTTCAACTCCAGTGGTGATGAGGATTCTTCAATGTCTTTTAGGTGCACTGCATAATTGACCGTGTCAAAGGGTTTCATAAACTCCTTGTTTCCGGGGCAGTTCGCGCAGTGTTGATTTTGGTTAATGGCACGGTAGGTGCATATGGCGACCGCAATTGCCGAGTGGCTAGAATTTACTATTCTAAACGTTAAATTAGTTTTCTATAACTGTTTGGATTTTAGTCGCACGTGGTTGAACCCGAGCCTTCCGAATGGCACTATACTATGCTAACCACTGGGCTACCGCGGCCGCCGACGTCACACGACTGCTCATGACAAATACTACGTGTCTTGGTACCGCGAATGAAGTGTAAAACTTATCTGTAGCCGGGTGGTTCCAGGTTCGCCTTTTCGTTATGGACTTTAACTCAAAAAGTATGAATTATAATGGTGTCAGCATAGTTATGCCTTGAAGATCTTACGATATTCCTCTCTTAATACCCGAAACTGATGTAACTGTACAATCGGTCAGTGGAAATTTATATTAAACTATGAAATTGTACAAAAAAGTTAGTAAATCATTGAAATTCCAACAACAAAGGAAATAAAACTACGAGGAATGACCTGAAATAACATCTCTTAGACGTGTACTAAATTACAGAGAAAGTAACAACAATAACTATCACACACACTTACAAACGTACTACAATAAATGCCTACAATTAATCAAATCACTAGAGGAAGGAAGTCGGAAAGGGTACTAAACGAGCCGACACACGCAGCACGTGCACACACGTAAATAAGACACAACAAACAGAGCCGGACGTATGCATAAAACTATTAACCGAATGAAGGTTACAAATATTTCGGCTTATTTATTTACATCATTCCGAAAGCTCTATACGAACTTCGAAACCTACCATTTGCTCGGGAGGTCTTAATATCCATACTTTTCTGCTAACTCTAGTCCAGTTATAGAGGAACCAGAGTAATTAGAAAAAAATATTTTCTATAATTTTGGAAGTTGGTCCGGTCAGAATTCGAACCCATAGCACTCCACATGGTAGTACGCACCATTAACCACCGCCCAGGTTAGATAGTTGCACCAAATATTCTGATATTTTCATACTTTCGTCTCACCAAGACCGGCTGGTGCGCTCAAAAGTTCGTAGTCCCTTACATATCTTTCCTGCAAACCGGTATTCTGCTCACGCACACACCGCAAGCTTATGTTTACCACTTCGACTCACACACTCACCTTAGCCAAATCCTGGGTTGGTGTGTTCGCCACTATGCTGTTATTAGCGTGTCGTGCTGCGCCGCCTACGCTATTTGTAGTGGCGCCATTTCCTCGTGGTATCGCACCGCCGCCATTCAATTGCATTGTGTTTCTGTTGTTTATCTTCGATGTTGTTGTTATGGCTGCATTAACACTCAACGGTTGCAGGGGTGGGTGATGTATGGGTGGTGGTGTTGCTGCATCGATCTCATTCGAAGTTAACAAATTACTCCGGCTTTGTTGTTGTGAGTATTGATGGGGTTGTGTTGATGATGGTTGTTGTTGTTGTTGTTGTTGTTGTTGTTGTAGTTGTTCCTCATTATTTTGTGTATTCAAGGCTAAATCTAAACTGTCAACACCGAGCAGTGTATCGCGTTGCGATTGCAAATGTTCAACCCATGCCTCGGCAGTGGCCATACGTGGCCCAGGACAGGTGGCTTCCAGTTTGCTGATACGTTCATCCAAATGTACGAATTCTTCAATTATCTCTGCAGGATCCTGTTTCGGAGGAGGTTGGGTAGTATAAATAAAACTGTAAAAATATTTTTCCTTCTCGTTTATTTACCATATCGTCACGCTGCCAACGGTCCAGGCTTTGTATGGGCTCTTCGATTACGTTATTATTATCCATTGATGAACCACATCCCATCATTTGCGCGGAAAATTTGCGGAAAAATTCATATTTGCACTTAGTGCTTCAAGTAGAGGAAACCGTTAAAACAACGCGGCGTTCGAAAAAGCAAGTTTAATCTATGCGTTTTTTTTTTTTGCACAAAAACAATCTTTTTATTTTATTTCGTGTATTCCTGATTTTGAAAAATTTTCGATGATTTTTTTTAAATAAATTACTTATTATTTTTTAACACTATATTTTTGCTTCAACTAGTAAATATAAATATATTTCACTTAAATTTTATTTTCTTAATTATTATTATTTCCTTTTCACTCTCAAACTAAATGCGTTCTATAATTTTCCACACGTCGCTCGAATGCTCAATGGGCTTTGGCTATTTCACTAGTTACTCTCTTCACTGCTAACTTTTGAATGAAACTCATTTGCATATTCACTTTCTAATTCACCCTCGAAATGATGTATAGTTCGTTGAGCTTTTGACCAATTGCACTTTCATACAAACATACATACGTGTATGTACACACATTCACGAAAAAGAAAGAATTGTATTTATGACGAATATCTGACCATAAACAATTATTTGCTTACATACAAACACACTTCTACAACGACTACTAATATTGACATTTCATCCTGTGTGTGAAGTTCTTTTACACATCGCTTACGGTGTCGCTGTAGAAAAACTTGGCGTAGACACCGCATACGCGATTGTACACGAGTTAATATTATATAAGGCGCTTCTTTCTTTTCGCTTTTTGGCACCATTTGAAAAATCCAAGCACAGCTTTCTCTGCCTCCACCGGCGGATACTGCATCGAAGTCTTTCCAAGCTGTAGTATTTTTATCCATCCAGACCATATTAACGTGCCAGTGTAGACGCTGTCTCTTGATTCGCTGACCTACAAATATCAATGTCGGCGTAGCAGCGGAGGCTGATAAGTTCGCGACCGACCCAACGTACTTAATAAAACAACTGAAAAAATATTCTTCAGATTTCTCTTCAAAATAGTTTTATACGGCCGCTTTCATTTCAATGTCGTCTGAAAACCTTCGTCTCAGTAAATTTGGAAAACAAAAACTAGTCCCGGACTATAGAGTATATTGGCAATTTCTCTAAATCCAGTAGCTTTTAAGGCATCTCTCGCAACCCGTATATTTCGTAAAGCTCATCATTCTATTAACTGTGCTATGCGCCATCCCTACACATCGTATAACGGATGTTCCAAGTAGAGGCACTTTTTTGAATAACCTTTTTTTGGCGATGTCATGTTCTTTTTTGTTCAGTATTATTTGACATTTCTTTATGGAAAGCCTTACGCCGGAAAAACAACTATTTAGTGTGCTTTGTGACCCGTGGAATTATCGGTTCATATTTTTTCAAATATTGTGCAAGTGAGAACATGACGAACGTCAATGGCGACAATCAATAAATGGATTTATTGTGAGAAAGTTGCGATGAGCAGATAATTTTCTCGTTTTGGGCCACCAAGATCGTGTGATATTATACCGTTAGACTTGGGTATATATAAAGTCTAAAGTCTATGCGAACAATCCCGCTTTGATTCAGGCCTTGGAGCAAAATATCACGCGTGTCATGCGATAGTTACCAGTCGAAGAGGACGGAAATGATGAGCGAATTGTACAGTTTGGTCTTCGTTCATCGAGAGTGGAGTAAGGCCTTTTCAATTTCCTATCCAGTGCCAAATAACACATGTTGGCGAGAGCGATTCTGCTTTGAATTTCAATGCTGATTGGGGTGCACACTCTAGGCATTCTTTTATTACTACGTGTCTAGCTTATTTTTCGTCTTTTTTATTATCACGTATATTTTGAATTCAAATTTTTTTGTCAGTAGTCAAAATGAAAGAAAACATATGATTGTGACAGCAGAGCTTAGCTGTGTCTATTGCGATCCATCAATTGTTTTTTTGAACAATTTTGTAGTATGCCATGCCATCTCCTTTAAAACAACAGGTAATGGTGGTAATATTTAAAAAAAATGATAACAAAATTCCTACAAGGCATTATTTTGGAAATGCTTAATACAATACATACCAACATACAAACATATATGCTATTTAAACAGCTAGTTGCATATTAATAAAAGTTCAAGGAGACAGTGCACGGTAAGAGAGCTTTTTGTAGAAGAACAATATTAATCATATTTCATTTTTTTAACAGAAGTATCAGAAATATTAATTAATAGAAGATGAGTGGGATTGCCCAAAATTACACTAGCAACATATAAGCAAATGATTATTTTAATAAAAGACTCTCTTTTAGATTTGACATACAAAAAAAGCATGTAAAAAAAATCACATCAGTTGTTCTGATAAATTCAGCTGTTCATAAACGCGCTTCGCAGCAGTGTCTTGAAGTTTAAGGTTTTTTTGCTGACAGCGTGAATGCAAATAGAAATGTCAAAGTTAAATTTCTTATTTTGACCATTGGATACGAGTGTCTCCGCTTAAAAAAAAAACATTTATATTTTGGTGGGTTTTCGGTCTGTTCGTCTTTAGTCTTAAGTTGCGAAACTTCAAAATCAGCTGTCAAATTAAGGTGGGCACTTACGTCATCGATTTCCAAAAGAAGTTAGAGCGTCGTATCCCCTTAACTCTGGCAAATATGTTTTCCATAATTTCAAATAAACTGATTATGACGCCACTGAGAGAAATTAAAAATTTGACAGAAAAGATATACCTATAGTATTTTTATTCAACACATTCATGACACATTAGACATTTTAGCGGTACAGCGACGTCATATTAGTGTCATGACTTCATAATTATTTATGAAAGCGAAATACGGTGTCTATTTCGTTATAGTGAAATTCTTGATGGATTTTGTTATACATTTTTGAGACCCAAAACTGAGAGGAAATATAATTTCCCTAATGCCCGCAATTGCTATAAATTTTTTTTAAATTTCTCTAAACAAATTCTTGATTAATTTTACATTTTAACTGATTAGCTTACGTCGAAAAATCATCCTGCATGTTAAAAGGATATTCGAAATCTTTTTTTTTTATGAAATTCTTTAACATTAATATGCCTCTGGAATACACCTTTTGTGTCAATATTGACACGAATACCAGTTAAGCTGTCATCGCAGTCGGTGAGTGTTAAAGGTGTTTATTAAATTTTATGGCCATTTCTTTTCAAAACTTATGAAATATATGAATTGTAAATAAGTAAATGTATACATACTTTCAAGAATATGCACATATGTATATATGTAAGTATTACAAAAAATGTGAGGTGAGTAAAGCCTCATATATTCGCTTATTTTTTTCCTACAAAAATTAACTTTACATACTATTATTATTATTATTATTATTATTATTATTATTATTATTATTATTATTATTATTATTATTATTATTGTTATATATTTATGCACATATGAATATAAATAAATATGTATTAAAAACTAATACATTATTTTTACATCAAATTGAGGGCTTTATTTACCATAGTAAGATACTCTGATTTATGTCAAATATGCACCGTTTTGTTCGATAATTTTTTGCCTCACCTTGTCTTTATTGGCAAAATTTTCGAACAAATAATTTTTATAGGCGGCTCTTGATTGATTTTTTTTAGACGATCCAATTGTTGACAGTCAACCACCAAACTCACAACAAAACCTTCTCGGCCGTTAATCGATCCATCCTTTTCATCACCAGTGAATATCCGCTTTAAAAATGGATTCGCAAATGGACATACGTATTTAGAGGATTCGTCTTCTTAACTCATGTGGCACCCCTACATCGAGCGGTTTTATATATCCAACCTTTTTATTGTGTTTCCCAATTATTGTTTGTGCAATGTTTAGCTCATGAGCGATCAAAACAGTGCTCGCATGACGATCAGACCCGACGATTTCCTTTATTTTATCGACATTTTTGCCAATGGGTCTTCCATACCGAGGAACATTTTTCACAACAAAATTATCGAAACAAAATCGAAGAAAATTGTGTGAAACTGACTATTAAAGTTTCAGGACCATAAACACCATTCACATTTTCAGCTGCGTGACTTCCGTTTTCACCTTTATCGAGGAAAAATTGTTGAGTAAAGCGCATTTTTCTGACATACGTTCAAACTATACTGAGTGAAGTGGTTAAAACTTCTCCTGTTAATTTTTTTAGTAAATATATCATTTTATCTCACGCCATCTAGTGTGATACAATCGCACTTGTAGAACGCAAAAAATAATGGACTAGTTTTTACTTGACCCAATATGTTTTAGTTAGCAATATTGCCCTTTGTTGACAAAATAAATACATTAAATAAGATCGTATCACTTTTCTTTGCCACCTAACTCGGCTTAAAGACGTGTCGCATCAGGAATACACGATATTTGAATTTTAAGAGAAATTTATTACTTGAAAATATCTAAGCCGAATTTATTAATTTTTTTTTGTTTATTTTAAAAATGAGTACAAATACAACAAAGAAGCATCACAAAGAAAGTTAATAACCTAAAAAAGGTAACCGATAGAAATGTAAGATGTGTAGTAATCGATTGTAGTGATCGATGTGTTGTGCATGATAATCTCTAAAATGTTCAATGATATTTTGAGAAATTTAAGCGTGATTAAATAAATATAATGTGTAATAATATAAATAGGTTTATATAAGCATATAATGATAATTACATTCATACATATACATGATTTGCTTTTATTTTGACACACTCGTTGGATAATTAGTTACCATTTAAATACAAAAGGCCATACATATTTTGCCGACTTATTAGTGACTTAATGCTATTATTTAGTAAAAATGTACAAATCACTCTCAAAATGTGGCAGTTTTTTTTTTTAAGGAGAATATAAAAGCAATGTGTAAAGCAACAGTTGAATGGACTACATACAAATGTACAATAAATATGCCAAGGACATGTGAAGGCGACGGAAGTATTTTATTAGTTATACATAACAGTGGATTTCTGTGATTTCGATAAAGACAAAAGAGAATGAAAAATACAGAAGGGAATAGATAAAACAAATCTATATGAAATTATTGGAGGAAAGTTAAAAGTATTAACAAGAATAAATTAATTTATTAAGGCTATCTTGAGCTTCGCGCAAGGCGTTGACGTCCAATTGGACTAGATCGCAACATAACGAACTTCCAGCTGGCAATAGCATGGTCCAAAGAGTCTAAGGCTGGTCGGGCGATTCATCATCTCTTCCAGTGTAACCTAACCTAATTTAAATGCTTTTAATAACCAAAAAAAAGTTCTTTCAAATGTGTGCAACCGAAAATAAATTGATAAATAAATTTCTTCATTTGGTTATTGCACTTTCGCGCAACTGCTTCATTTTACATTTGTTAATAATTTATAAATTATTGTCTACGAGTGTTAAATTCTGTCTAGAAAGAATATTATTTTCATTAAATAGCACATTTACTCGTCATACACCATGTACATAACATATGTCTAAATGTATGCATGTATCCTTTAAATAAATATTTTAACAATAGTCGAACACGCAAGTCACATCCTTCAACCAACACAATGAAAAGAAAAAAAATCTAACAAAGTGCTTAGTAAGTTCAAAAGAATGTGTTCATATTAAATCCAGGTATGTATGTATGTGTAGAGCGTACACGTATGTTAGTACTAATAAATATACGTGTAGACTATCAAATGCACATGAAAGCTTAACAGCCAGTTAATGATGCAGCAACAAGTGATGTGTTGATATGTTTATGATGATTACTGTAAATATTACATACGTACATATATATACATATGTGCATAAATCAATGGAAAGGCAAATATTTTACTTAAAAATATACATACATATACATGCACACAATAACACATAGGAAATATCTAAACAAATGAACCAAACCAAAATTTTCGGTTGAGTTTTCATTGTTTGAAAGCTTTTATTTAATGAACGAACTCTATCATTTTAATTAATGCAATATTAATTACCTAAATAAGCATGTATACATATGAGAAGTAAAAATTAATTAGTTAACGAAATAAAAAATGAAAAAAATTATTTTGAAATCGGTTTAAGTCCACTGAAGTAAATTATTTAGATATTTTGCTTTTTCATTCCACTTAGAAAAGACGTTACCCTTGCCGAAATTGTCTGTTTCCATCGCCTATTACAAACGTAATATGTACAGTTACAACCTAGCTTGTCATTTTGGAGTGGTAGAAATGGCTTTGAGGGAAAATAATTTAATGTAGGAGAAGTGTTCATAAAATCGCGAATTTTGTGTTTTTTCAAAAATTATTTATTTATTCATGAATATCTATTTTGTCCCCTTCAAAGTAATCCCCATAAGATATTATACACTTGTGCCAACGGTTTTTCCAATCTTCGAAGCACTCCAAAAAATAATTTTTTTTATCTTGTTCAGCTCCTCTTTCGATGCCGTCTTTATCTCGTCAATCGTAGCGTATCGTCGTCCTTTCATGGGCCTCTCAGTTTAGGGAACAAGAAAAAGTCACAGGGGGCCAGATTTGGGGAATACGGTTGCTGCGGATTCATTATTGTGTTGTTTTTGGCCAAAAAGTCGCGCATAAGGAACGCTGTGTGAGCAGGGGCGTTATCGTGGTGCAAAAGCCAATTTTTGTTCTTCCACAAATCCGGGCGTTTCAGGCGGATTTCTTCGTGCAAATTGCGCATAATTTGCAGGTAATATTCCTTATTGACCGTTCTACCCTGTGGCAAGAACTCATGATGCACCACGCCTCTGCAATTAATTTTTTCGTTCGTTTCTGTTGTTGAAGTGCTCGGGTGTCCGGCACGCTCTTCGTCGTTCACAACATCTCGGCTTTCTGAGAACATTTCGTACCACCAATAAACGTTGCTACGGTCCAAGGTAACTTCTCCGTATGCCACAGTCAACATTGGGAATGCAGCCGCATTCGTTTTTCACACAAAATTTGATACACGTTCTTTGATCTATTTTTTTGAATAGCTAAAAATCGAAGACCATCCAAAAAACGTGCAAGCAAAGCAGCTGTCAACAATTAAGTGAACATTCAAATGGCCGAGCTTGTTGGCATAAGTGACAGACATGAGTACCAACATAACGTCACGAAAAATCGAAATTCGATTAAACGTAACCCGCGAAAATTCAAAATTCGCGATACTTTTTGAACACACCTCGTATGCCCCCCTGGATTACTATGAAACCATAAAAATATGTCGAAAGAGTAACAAATATAATATATATTAGCTAAAATGAAATGCGAAAATTTTTTTTCTATCAAACCTTTGGAAGAAGCAATTCATAAAAGATTAAAAAACACTAGTGGCGAATCTGTAAATTGGCTAAGGATATGTTGGAGAAGAAGAAGAAGTCAACCATATAAAATGTTTTATAAAGAATTTATGAAAGTGGATTAAGAGTTCAAAATACTTAATTTATTACTTTGTTGGGGAAGACCAAGGGGCTTCAGTGAAATAAAATTAACGTCATTATACAACAATGTACGTCCCATTTCAGCACCTAAATATAACGATATGATGGAGTTATGAAGGTATACACCACCTATGCACCATGAATATTTTAACAACCTCCCACACAATCGAAATGAGGAGAAATAATATGGCAAAATCTTGCCTTAATAATATTATCCTTAATAAATGAATGTAAATAAATTTTTTTAATACATGAATTAATATTTATTTAAAAGAGCATAGCTTTAATTACATAAATACAATAAAAATCTGCATTCATCTAATTCAAACATAAAATATTTTTAATCTCTATTATTTAATTTCTTTAAAACAACTGGCTTTTTTCCTTTTCACAGGCAAAAAGTCATTTTCTAAATTTTGAAAGTTTAAATCCATTTTAGGTTCTGAAAAACAGCTTATTTTTCTAGTAAAGTTTACAAAATATATTGTGTTATCCATTCTAACATGTTTAACGTCACAAAGCGATACAAAAGAATTAATACCACTTACCAATATTTTTGAAACAAATCAAACACAAAACCATAAATATCTCAATATAAGAACAAAAATGGACTTAAAACCACTTTCAAAATAAACGACTCATTTATAGTCTCAAATAAATAATAAAATGAAAATTAACCTTCTCTTTCTTTAGTGTTTTTCTGTGATAAGCTTTAAATACACTACTTGTGTACTAATCTTCAGAGCTTTCGTCTAGTTCATAATTTTCTTTTTTACTGACGTAGATACCGCTTACGCGATTATAGGCGAATTAACAACAGTGCGGCATTCATTGCTTGCTTTTGGTTTTTGACGCCAGGTCCTTCTCCATCGAAAACTTCCGAAGCTGTAGTATTCTTATCTATCTGGACTTAATGACTTAGCTGTCTCTTGATTCGTTCCATCGGCGGCGGCCTTCGCCATTCCCAACTCGCATAGGACCATAAATCTTACACAAAACTGATAAGGTCCAATCAGTTTGCTGACAGTGGGTTTAAGCCTTTCATACAATATGCTTAATGTTGAAAATACTTATCCTACAGTAATTTGCGCAAATTTTGGGTTGGGGGCAGAGCACCCTCAGTTTGTAGTTTGTAACCTTCTATAAGCTATCCTTGGTCAAATCGTTCTTCTCAGTGATATGTGCTTCAATGCGGATTGTGACGAGACGTTCATTCACATATGAATGCCAGTACTCACGAAACCGACACTAAGTTTCCGCTCCTTAATTCGACCTCTGTAGTAAATGTAACAAGGATCTACTCGTTTCCGCCTTGAGATCAGTGAAGCAGCTTATAAGACCAAGAGAACTTTCTTCAAATACTTCATATCCATGCGTCCAGGCCTGTTACAGACAAATTTGAAAAAGGATGTTTTTTTTGCATCAGATATTGAAAGGTTTATAGCTGATCCTCATTTCAAAATGACTTTAATGGGTCCATAAAGAGAGGTGTGAAATGTCTATTTGGAGATCTTGGAGATATTTTTGGACAATAATATAGACTGTAACTACAAACCGTACTAAGGAATTTTTAAGGAATTTCAAGCTTTAGATAAGGCCAAAACGGATATTAATTTTCTTTTGCAGACTTGTGATGATGGAGATCTAGATTAGCAATCTGTAAACAGTTAATTGTGTCGGTGCCCTTAATAACAGTTTCCAGCTATAAAAACTTAACATAAATAGCAATAAGAAACAAAAAAATAAATCATTACAATAAATTATTAAAATATACGATATAAATTAAATAATAGAAGCTGCAGAGCTGAATAGCAGACGTACAATCTTCTTTAAGAGTGCACAGCCCCGCATCGATCACCATTGCCAACAGGTGCTGTTTTGGACTGAGTAGGTAATTGAAAAGTAATGTCCTTTCTCGATGAACAAAGACCAAACTGTACATGTTGACGTACAAGTCAACTTTTGGGGTTTTAGAGAGAAAAGTTTTGCGTAAGATTTATAGTTCTCTGTGAGTTGGGAATGGCGAGCACCGTCGAATGTCATCGACAGCGAATGAAGAGAAAGCGGGTACGCTGACTAGATCATGCGGACCGGATGGAACCACATGCATTGAAAGCTCTCGACGCAGTATCCGCTGGAGGAATAGAAACTCCTTCAATCCATTGGAAATACCAGGTGGAGAAGGAACTGGCTAACCCTAGTATTTCCAATTGGCGTAAAATAGTAAAAAGAAGGCATGAGTGGCGTTGTAAATTCGGCTATTGAAGTAGACTTCGAGTAGTTGTAAAGATAACCAATTTAGCTTATTACCAAAGTAATTGTGAACTTTTCATTTACCGTAGAGATTCAGCTAAGGAATGTTTAAAACAAGAAACTTGGCAACCTTGCTTTATTGTTGCACCCATATGTATGCTTCATTATTCAGGGAAAGAGAGAGAGAGTACATCGATAATTTTCAGTGTCATTGTCAAGCAGCACCCACACATTAGAAATTAACAGTTGTAATGATAACACAGCACGCGTAAGGCTTTACCGGGCAAACAAACACATGTTGAACTTAACAAAAAATCAAATAAAAGCTTGCGTAAAACTTTGAGCTTTTAAGTTCTGCAAAACCAACGCAGGTGTGTAAGCTACAAAGGCGTGTTGAAGGCGTTTACGCTTTTGTTGTTTATTTTAAAGGCTGGAACTAGTTGGCAGCGCTGTCGTTTTGCTGCCGGTTCTGCTGCTGCAGCTGCTGCTGTAGCCGTTGCAGCAGCGACGACAGCGAAGCCTGCGCAAATGCCTCGTTTATACTTACTGAACCTGGTAGAGTGTTTTATGGAAAAGCAACTTTGTCGCAGCAGTCAGCGGCTGATTGTTGGAAGTGTTGTGTATATAATTTTGGGAGGCCGGTGAGGCTGACAGCGGCTGCGTTAGAACAGCAAGACTTGGAAACCGTTGAAATGCTGTGCAGCGCAGAGAATTCAAATTAGTCGTGTGGCAAACGTTGGTTGTTGAAGTTGCGGATTTTGATTTTCGTGAAAGTGATTGTGTGAAGAAAATGTGTTTTTTTCTATTTTCAAAATATACAACACAGCTGTTGACTGTTGTACTATACTATACTCTTGTACTATATACATATGTGAGCATGTAAATATACATACATACATACATATATTAAGAGAATACTCCAGCTGTTTATAGTTTCCTGGCGTGTTTTTGTGTTTCAAAAATATTTACAAATATTGTGATAAGCGCAAATCAAGCAAAACGCAAGGAATGCTGATTATTTCAAAAATCAGTGGAAAATCAAAATAAAAAATAAATAATACAAATTTGAAAATAAACCAAAACCCAAAAATAACACACCTACACACATATAATAATATCAAAGTGTAGGAGTTTCAAATAAATTTCCGTTCACCTAAAATTAGCACTCAAATGCAATTCTAAATAAATAAAAACTAAATGTCAACGTAATTTTCTTGCTCATGGGGACGTGCAAAAAATTTTTTTTAAACATGTGTACATATGAACAAATAATTAAATAAAATATTAAATTAATATACAAAAGCCTGCGTAATATTTCAACAATTGCGCCATGGACACGCGCTTATTGAGTTTTTTAGAAAAGAAGAAGAAGAATGCAATCAAAAGTTTCAGATTTTTTTTGTGTATATATATTAATATTTGTTTTTGTTTCATAGGAGTAAATAGTTGCACTTTTCGGATAACTTGAAAACGAGGCAGTGTTTTTATGTCTGTGGAGGGGGGGATAAGGAGTGGAAAGAACAAAATATCACCTGCAAGACGGATACATTTTTCAGATCTCTTAAGTATTATATACATATTATTATATTCTCATAAGAAATGTTTTCTATTTATCTTCAAAATTTGCCGAAACAATTGTTGTAAATACACTTACATATGTACGTATATCATTGGCAAGACGCAAAGCCACAAATTGTAGGAGGAGCTCGGCCGAAAATCGCTTAAACGATTACAAAGCGCCAATTATGTATATATGTATATCACAATCATTTCGGCCAGGTCTACACTGTGGAGTGTTGATTCAAAATTTCGAAGTCCATCTTATGGAGCGCAGATAACGAATCGTGGCATTTTTGGACGGTTGTTTTTGGCGAGGCGTGAGCAATCTCGGTACCGATCTTGCGCTGACTTTAGTCTTACCAAAATTATCACTGCGGATTTTAAAAATGGTTGTATTGGATGCTGCAACTATTTCTGCGAGTTTTTTCCTCCTTAGTCGAGCATCATCGAGCACAATATTTGTAACTTTTTGGACAAGTTCTGGCGTGGTTACCACCATGCTCGTGCCCGCCTACGTTTGTCTTTAATAGAACACCTTTCAAGTTTAAATAAACTGTGCCATTTGTACTCTATGGGTTTTTCCGAACAAGAGTCACCGTAAACCAATGGTTTATCCATAAATCGTCACCTTGCTCCGCAGACCTCTAAAGTTTGATATTAAGTATTTCAAGCAGTTTCTGTCATTTGGAAGTACAAATAAAAATAGCTTCCTCAATGTCAGCTTTACGTGTATGTGGAGCTGTGCCAGAGAAGAACTTTATGGGGAGGGATATAAGTTTGATATATGTATATATTTACATTAAGTTTTTTTCGAAGCCAATACCTTTTGATCTACTATTTCATGGACAAAATTATATATGATAAACCAAGCAATATGACCAAGATTTTTAAAGTTACCTGTAGACCTAAACGGGGTTAGGTCGCAACACACACAACAACCGCTGGACAGGACGGCGTATCGACAGGCACTGAACGCCATTCACCAGAAGTCAGTCAACACCTTCATAGACTCCCTTCCAGTGAATGGCGTACTCGGAGAAATACCACCACCCATAGCAGACAACGAGCTCGAGCTGCCTCGGAAGACCCGCGTGACCCTGACACAACTCAGATCTGGATATTGTAGCAGGTTAAACTCCTACCTATCCAGACTAGACCCCAGCATACCTAACGTATGCCCGGCATATGGAGAGTCCCCGCACGACACTAACCACCTCTTCACATGCCCCCTCAAACCCATTCATCTAACCCCCCTCTCCCTTTGGTCCAACCCCGTCGAAACAGCTCGTTTCCTGGACCTACCACTAGATGACCTCGGCGACTCAGACTGAACAAACCTGTGCCTAAGCGGGGTTAGCGAACCGCTACAACAACAACAACCAAGATTTTTAATGTTGCCGGTACCAGAAGAAGTTACATGCTTGCCGGGCACTGCCCTCAGGAACGCGACTGGAAACTTCCTGATCACTTACACAGTGCAACATCTGTGCTTCGAGTTAAGAAGCATAATGTTTTGCTGTGCAAGCAGGGAGTAGGAGTATGTCTCCACACGACACCAACCACCTCTTTGCATCCCCCATTAAACCGACGCATCTCCCATTAAACTGACGCATCCCCCATTAAATGGACTCTCTCTCTTTGGTCCAGTCCCCTCGAAATAGCACGTTTTCTGGACCTCCCCATACATATCCACGGCGACTTAGATTGATCAAACCTGTAATTAGGCAGGGGTTGCGAACCGCTACAACAACAACTACAACCAAGATTGTCAAACGAAATCTTTTAATTTTAATTTGCCAGCAACCAATTTCAAGTTTTTTGTAGGTTTCCTTGGAGCTTGGGTATTGTCGAAGGATGGAATTAGCTGGAGACAGATTGGCGTTTGAAATATATTGCTTCCGTTCTGAAGTATTAGTAACAATCATCACTTGATTCTTTTTGTCAAAAGAAAGTTGATCGATAGTTAAAATTTTAACAAAAAATTAAATTTAGACCACCCTGTGGTCTAGGCAAAAAATATTCGATAGAAATTTTAATTATTTTCAGTTGCATTTCTGCATTTTGACGAATAAATTAAAATCAAACGCAAAACAAGCAGTGGAGAATAGTGCAAATATGTTGTGAAAATAATTAAAATAAGAAATAAACGATTACATGTAAGTGTACACACACACACAGAAATAAACACATTTAAGTATTTTCGTAAGGCCAAAAGTGTGGCTAGCAGCCAGACGAATAGACCGACGAGCTGCTAGTGTCATTGTCAGTGGGATTAGAATTGGAATTGATGGCATTGGCTGAAGTGACGAGCCCACACATGCAGTCGCAGAAAGCGCGCGCATCCGCATAGCAAAGAGAAATAGAATGAATAAAACAACAAATGTCGGCGTCTACGCAGCCAATAATGTGCTTTATAAGCAAAACAAACTATTTTAAATTCACTTTAATTAGATAAATTACACACACACATATATATATATATATACAAATATAAAGCAATAAAACGACAAGAGTGATTAAAAAACAACAAAAATAAATGTCTTGCGTTAAAGTAGTTTAATTGTTATTAAGTGCGAACGAAAAAAACATACATATGTACGTTAGTGTGCGTGATTGTGTATTTAGCACGCGTCTATTTTCAAATAAATAATAAAAACTAAAAAAAAAAAGAAAAAAAAAAAAAACAAACCAAAAACAACGCATATCTAAGATAAACAACCAACGAAGCTCTCACGCACCCACAGGCTTAACTGTTAACCCACCAGAAAATTATTTCAAAATACCATTTCCCCCTTCCGTGTAGCAAAAGCTACATTGCAGCCAATATGGGCATCAAGGATAAAATACGTGTGTTGAAAAATGGCGCCAGTCCAAGTCACAGCCACAACAACGACAACGACAGCGCTAACATCAATACCAACGCTAACGCCAGCAGCACGCCAACAAAGGGTGTCGTCGATCTATTGAAACCACATTCCAGTCGTAATCTAATGGCACCGGGTCAGGTCACCGAGCAGACACTGCAGGTGTGGCGCGCTTTACCGCCACAAATACGACATGATCCGAGTATGGTGTCCTTTCAAATGGAAAATGAGCGATTGCATGGTGGGTAAATAAAAGACATGTATATACATACATACGCACGCTTACAGAAATATTTATAATTAATATAAGATGCAACTATGAAAAAATGCTTAATCGCATTTCAGCTGTGTGCAACTCCTTTGAAGGCAAAGCAATTAATTAGTGCAACTGCATGAAAGACTCGACATTTTTAGTTTATCTTTTTGTTTTCAATAAAAAAAAGCTTTGCATTTTTATGTCAAAACAAAAACAGGAATGCATCGAGATTGGCTTGCATAGCATTTTAAATGAAATCAGCTTTTCTTAATCAAAAACACGTTTTGAGTAGCAAAATTTGCAATAAAATATGTGTTTTTATGTTCCTAATGCAGGCTTGTAGCTTAAGTAAAATTATTTGTTGTCTCTATGCAGCGCCACAAGTAATAATCTTTCGCAACCCCAGAGATTTATTTGTTTGTTTATTAGTTGCGCGAACCTAACCTCCTACTAGCAAATCAGGTAGATCTTGATTTTAAATTTTAAGAATTTTTATTTATATGGAATTTTTTTAGGTTAGAAATCAGACCATTTGGGGAGGAGAGCCGGGTTTCTAGTCTTAACTAAAATCGAGCATTTTCATGGCATGATAAGTCTTCTCAGTCTCTTATATTGTATTTAATTGTTAGAGGTTTTGATCTGTTAGAATATCAACTAAGCTGATCAAAATTGGGGAATGTATATTACTATTCGAAAGAACATTCTTTGGCAACTATTTTTTGAAGACTATATTTTTCAAATGTTGGCCGCCGCTACGTCTCAGATGGTCCAACTTTCGATGACTCGTTCGAGCATATTGACTGGTTACTGGTGAATGACACTCAAGACTTCTTGCTCCAAGGCCTGAAACTGTGTGATATCTCACGATCTTAATGGCTAATTGACCGGCTCAGATAGCGAAATTATCTGCTCACCGAAATGTTCTCTCAATAAATTCATTGATTTATGCGATGTTGGAGAAGTGGAGCGCTCTTGTTGATACCAAATGTTGCCGATATCACGAGCTGCAATTTCAGGCATCAAATAGCCGGTTATCATGGCGTAAAAACGGTCGCCATTGACGGTTACGTTATCTTTGAAGAATTATGGACCGATGAATCCACCGACCCACAAACCACACCAGACCTTTCATTTTTCTGAATGAAATGTCTGCTCTTGTTTCTCTTCAGGTTGCTCTTCGTCCCAAGTGCGGAATTTTGTTTCTTTACATACCCATTGAGCTAGAAATGGGTTTTATCGCTGAAAACATCGGATATTCTTGCGACTTTTAAAGAGCCCATAGAGTGAAGCGCCAAGTAGTTCCATACATTAATCGGAGTTGCTGCAAACGGCAACGAATCGACTCTCCACATTTTCTTCACTGCGTGCTGGACTTGGTCTGGGTCTCAAGATGGATGATAGTGTTGCGAATAGTACACTCAGCATGTCGAATGGTCAACATAAGTTGAGCGAACGTGAATTTTCGTAATAAAGTTTAACGATTTGTAAACGTTGGTCAGGTGGAAGTCTTTCCATGATAAAATGCCACAAACAATGTTGAACAAAAATAACATGACGGCTTGACATGACTCAACGATTAGTTCAAAAGCCGTATGAACTGCTTACGCGTTTAAGGCTGAATCAAAAATGACACACAAGCCGTTTTTTATACCTCGACGCCAACTGGAATTATTAATTAAAGAACAGTGAAATAGTACCTTTTGGCCTAATAGGATCCCGCGTTAGATTTCAAGGTTGACTTTTATATTGGTGCCCTAAACTGACTATACTCGTATACCCTACAACTTCAATATTTTGACTAAAGCAGTGGAGTTTGTTCTGATGACGACAGATTCGTCTTATCCATATCCACTCTCTTATTACGTAACGATCAACCCGGAAAAGTCCTTCTCAATACCTTATTTAATTAAGACCTTCTCGAGCTTAGCTTCAGTCTTTTGGAGTTCTAATTATACTTGGAACATTAAAAATGTCATCTTCTTTCTCGATCTTCCAGGGTCTCATTTCTCTAGGAAAAAAATCGATTTTTTCCGGTTTCACTCCAAACTCAAATATAACCACGCATGAAAATGTCTTAAATAGCGCTTCGCTTGGAATAGAAAACATATTGAAATGCGTTTGCTTTAAAAAATCGGATGGTCGAGTCTTCCTCACTCAAGTTTATCTGCCTCGTAGTTTTTTCAAGTCGCCGCACTACAGTGTGAAGGAGTGTTCCAAGAGAGTTCCTAGAGTAATGGAAAGTTCTATCAATTATTTCTGTGGTCTAAAAATTATGAAGGTGGCAAAAAAATTTTTGAAAATATACACGCCTAGAGGTGTGGAAAAACTATCGACTGCGGCGCCTTTGTTCTCTGTTGGACATTCGTAATACCCAAAAATTGTATTTAAATTCATTGTATATCTTTTGAATATTGTTTATTTAGCTAAGCTATAAATTAAATAAAAATTTATATATAAAAGTATGTATTGTATATACTAACAGTTGCGATGACCGCTTTGGAATTACTTCCTCAGATTTTGTAAATGCAAAATTTTAGTGGCAATCTGCCAGTCTCAGCAGACGTCAAATCAAACTTTTTTTTTTTAATTTTATTTAATATGGCAGAGTATGTACATTGAATTCATACATATGCAAGCAATGAAAAGGTTTATCAAAATATTTTAATTCCAACATGAATAAGCTTTCTTTTTTTATTTAATTTTACTTTATTTACTTGAATTAATTTAATTTAACTTCGTTTTTTAGGTTAGTAAACATTTTTTAGTCTAGTTGTTTTATTTTACTTTGAAATTTTTGCTTTCATTTTAATGTATTTTCTTTATGTTTTCGTGTTCTTGAAGGATTACATTTTTTAAATTTATTATTATAGACTGTTTGGTTTGGTTCCAATTTTATTTTATATATAATTATAATATAATAATAATTAATAAATAATTAATTTTTTTTGATTTCAATTTTGTTTTGTTTTGTATTAAATTAAATTTTATTTTTTTATTTTATTTCATTTTGCTTTATTTAATTTTATTTAATTTTTTTAAGTTACTTAGGTTTATTATATTTTTGTGATTTTTCCTTTAATGTAACTAAATCTATTTTAATTAAAATTATGCTCTTCTTATATAATTTTATATACCTTATTTTGTTTTATTTATTTTTTTATTTATTATTGCCGTTTTAAATATATTTTTGGTTTCACTTTTATTTTATATATAATTATAATAATATAAGGTTGTCAAATATCTCCCTTCCGCTTTTTTGCTCTTCATTCAATGCTTTATAAAAAGTGTTACAGTGATCGGACTTAGTTAAAATATGCACCGTTTTGTTCAATGATCTGTTTCCATCTAGACGGCAGCTTCATTATACCTTCCTCGTAGAAGCCCCCCCTCCTTATTTGCGAAGAATTCGAACAGCCANCGATCCAGTTGTTCGCAGTAGATGGTAGAATTAAGCGTCTGGCCATATGGGAGCAGCTCATAGTGGATGATTCCCTTCCAATCCCACCAAACACACAGCAAAACCTTCCTGGCCGTCAATCTCGGCTTGGCCACTGTTTACGACGATTCACCGGCCTTCGACCACGACCGTTTTCGCTTGATATTGTCGCATGTGATCCATTTTTCGTCGCCAGTCATCAGCCGCTTCAGAACTTGGTTGATTTTGTTACGATTCAGCAGCGATTCGCAGACGGAAATTCAGTTCATGAGAGTTTTTCCCGTTAACTCATGCGGCACTTATACAACGAGCTTTTTTTAAGTAGTTCCAAGCTGCTTTTTGTGTAATGTTTAGCGAAACAGTGCTCGCTTGACTTTCAGACCAGACAATTTCCATTATTTTATTGACACTTGGAGCACCTTGGAGCATCGTTTACATTAAAATTACCGGAACGGAATGGACGAAACCGCACTTGTGCAAGATTGACTGTTCAGTATGAGGACCACAAAGAGTATTCACATTTTCAGCTGACGGACTTGCGTTTTAGCCTTTATCGAGGAAAAATTGTAGAATATAGCGCATTTGCTCTTTGTCCATGGTGTCCATGTTTGACATGCGCTCAAACTCAACTAAGTTAAGGGATCAACATTTCTTCCGTTGTCTTTTTAGTACAAAATATCATTTTTCTAGTATGATCATTATCGCTTATAGAACGCGAGATAGACATAACTAAAGCCATCTATTGCAGAAATAATGGATTAATTTTTACTAGATCCATTTATAATTTCTATCGAACTTAATTTCTCATTACTAAATTGAATTCTCAATCAATTCTGGTATTTTATTACAATTCAATTTATAATTAAGAGTGAAATACGAGCGCTTCCGTTTTGCTTTTGGAGGAAATCACAACAACAACAAATAAAATAAAACAATTGTTTGATATTTATCACTTGATTACATAGCCATTTTGCTTTTTCCTAACTTTAACTCATTAATAAATGTTGTTGTTGTTGTACAATAGTTACAAGTGCTGCTGCTGCTGCTGCTTTTGTCATCGAGTATTCAATACTCAATTCTCACTTCCATCAGACGCTTCAAAGGAAAACGTCACTTAATATATATATATATATATACACATGCTTCCCACGCATTCATTTACATGCAGACATACACGTACATATGTATATACTCGTAGGGAGTTTAGGAAACAACAACAACACACAAATAGACAATTGAAGGTTAATTATAGCATAAATATTGAAATTATTTATTGTCGTTCAATGCCATGTGCAAGTGCTCCATTCCGAATATTTACATACTTACATACACGTACATATACACCGTTAAATAGACAGTTGTAGTCGCCCAAATTACAATATAATGTTCATAATAGACAATACGAATGAAAAGTTTTTTCTTTATTGTTTTTGTGAATATTCTCAAGGACCTTGCGATTGGTGGTGTCATTTACAGCAACACTCCAGTGTGGTTTTGTCTTTTATTCGTTTTTGGTAGTCCAACTTGGTGCAACTCTCGATATTTTAGCGTTTTTTTTTTTACTTTCATATGCTAATAAGTGCGTGTTAATGGTAAATAACGGTAGTTACGTATTTAGTTGTTGATTGATCGATGTCGTTGTGGGATGCGCGAAAAACTCATTGACTCCAATTTATGATTTGACACGCATTTCTATAACTCGTTTTCGTGTTGTAGTAGCCGGTAGCCGGTAGCCGATAGCCAAGTAGGTGGCTGCGCCTGCTACGATTCGAAGAAGGTCAAAGGTATATGACGAGTCGAAAGATTCGAGTAGAGTTTGTTTCCTTATGCGGTCTCTACTTGGCAGGGAATGTCAATACCTCAGAGCGTGACATGAAATTAAAGCTTTTCAGAATAGTCTCTCAGCCGTTCCTGAGGTGTCACCATGTGTGGGAAAGTATTAAGGCACCCATCACGAGTTGGAAGTCGTAGCTCATCATAAAAAGCTTGTAAAGAAGATCTCTAAGAAGTAACCGGCTTGAAATTATTAACTTGATTCCGTGCTGTTCCTACCCTTTAGCCTTTTGGCTAAAAATTGAGTACTTCAACAAGAACTTAACACAAGGTAACTTTTCTCAACCCAAAGGCAAACGAGTAAAGTAATAATATCTAATCGTCTACGTTACCTAACAAGATTTTAGGGAAGGAACTGTTTCGAATGCTGATAGACTAATAATCTTAAGGGCTCAAGTATTATGACCCCAGTTTACCAAATAGGTAGAATTTTTTAACTTGTGAGAGGGTCTGACATATGGATCCCTACATTTAAATAATTTTCCGAGAAAACGAACATCGTTTATAGTCCAACTAGTCTCCTTCTTCTACCTCGTAATCAAAGTATTCAAAAAATCTTCTAAGGAATTCAAGGAAATCACCAAAGACTAATTCAGAGCTTATCCAAATCACTTGATATCGTTGTAGTACATATCGGTATCGTAGTTGACATGAATTTTTCACACAAGAGCTATTGGGGATTCGTTGACTAAAGGCCTTAGTAGCTTGTGAATGGCTTCAGCAATTTTTTTCCCCAACAAAGTCTTCGAAAAAAGCAATTTGTTTTCAACTTAAATCATCTAAGAGCAGTATCGGTTTGTTTTATCCACACATTTTCAGTTTGTTGTGGTGTTTTAAGAGCTATAATTTCTAGTGGGTGTCGCATTTGCTCTCAAGAGGGTACTGGAATTTAATGACTGACTCATATATTGATTGGAGCTAACGAACTATACAACCGAAGGACGGTTTAAGACCGTAAAACAATGTTTTCGCTTTCTTCTTCTTCTGCCACTCGATCACATCACAAACCTATGGCTTTGAGTACACACCGGAGATAACGAGTCTTTAAGAGAGGAACCAATTTTAGCTACCCCACACGATATTAAGATTGTAGTTATTAGAAAATTTGTTTCACATGTTCTTGAAAAATAGAACCTCTAACTCTGAAGTGGCTGACTGCAAGGGACTGAGCATAGCGGTTAAAATTGGTGCAGGAGTCTTCTGTCAGGAATGGTTCATCTAGTTCATTACCACATGATAGCAGTGTTTTTCAGTAGCTGCTTCTAAATAAGCAGCGGAGTCTGGCTACCATTTTCTCAGATAGGCGATCGGCAATTAGGGGCTTGTGAAGCAACGTTTGTCATCAATGTCAAATAAGATACTGAGTCCCACAAGATATGCTGGGAACTACAATGCTAATGCACGTTTTGTTAAAGCGACACAATTCCGAGTTTCGAGATCCTGCTGGTCTAATTCAAGCCATGGTAGGTCAGGGAACCTCCTTTCTACCACAAGATCAAAGTTAAAGCTCTGGAGTTTTGAAAAAGCTTGATTGGAATTCAAGTGGTAAGACTTGAAATTTTCCGGCTTTTGCGAGACTGAGACTGATCTCCGATTGTATACGTCCAGCCTGAAGGAGTAAATATTCATTTAATGAAAAGTGGTATCACGGTCAGACTATTTTTACTCTCTGTTTCATAAAACGGATGCATCTTATGTGTCTGAGCGAGGTTCTCTTAAGCCACTTCTATCCGAATTGCCGTGTTGCAGATACTTATTATTCTTTTCAGGAGACTTTAAAGATGGTGTCTCAAGACATCTAAGTGAAATCTAAATTACTTAATTAAATTTCTTCTCACACTAATAGGTTCCACAGTGGTTACAGATGATGAATCGACCAATGCTCACGATGTGGAGTCCAGTTATGAAGATGAGCACAGTTTTGCGGACTCGGAATATATTAATATGAAGAAGTTCTCACAAGGTAACATGGCGACTGATGAGAAAAGGTAAGTAAAAAACTCCACGAAATATCAAAATAAATGCAAATGATAATAAATTTGAATTCGAAAAAATTGCCTTACCTTCCCAAACAGCACTGATGGGGAGTGCACACTATCGGACATCGAAAACTCGACTAACGAAAAATCTAAAGCGGTTGTGAATCAAGTAGTGGCTAAACAAAAGTCGAAGGAACGACGTAAACGTGAGCAGTTGATAAAACGAAGTGGACTCTTGGTGTTTTGGGTATTCGCTGCGGTAGTGTTGATGATATTCGAGGAGAAACACTTGCTGGAGAAAACACTCGAGGTGCCGTGGAATAAAACGAAGAGTGAGTACAAGAATCGAAGATTTTTACAAGACTTCTCATTAAATTTTCCATGAACTCTGTAGACTTTGTGCTGCACAAAAAACCCACTGGTGATTTTAAACTCAAAATCTTTGGCACTTTCAATGAGACCATGCGTATGTATCACCATGAGGACGATGGGAAATTTCTCTTCGTACAGCCACAGATGTTGTATTATGATAAAGTGAATAAGCGACAGGACTATAAGGTTATAGTGCGGAGTTTTGTGTGATGTAACTTTTTGCAATGTTCTTCTCTTTGTTCAACAGAACATCTTGCAACCATGGTTAATACCGTTAGTTTCGGAAACCCTCTTCGAGGTGGCACCTGTTGTATGGCGTAATCAAACCTACGAAATGCCGGCTAACACCCTGCATAAGTTACAAAAACCCGACGTGACAATGCGGCTCCGCATGTATTCGAACGCTGAGAAGGATCTTGCCGTGCAATTAGTCTACAATCCTTTAATTATTAATAAAAAGATTGGGACACTGCTTGCGGCGGGCATATTGCTAATATTCTATGCGCTACTCGTGTGGGAGGTGAGTGTGGAAAGACTAAATACACCCAATCGAGTATTCTAAAAGTTGACTCTCCTACCTCCGCTAGGTTTTTCAACGTACTTTTATTGCAATTATCTGCTCTATACTTTCTGTCGCGGTGTTGGCTTGCTTTGACGATCGCCCCAATATGGATGAGATCATCGAATGGATGGATATGGAAATGTTAACTTTACTCTTTTGTATGATGATTATAGTCGGTATTCTGGCGGAGACGGGCGTCTTTGATTATATAGCTGTTTTGGCTTTCGAGACATCGGGTGGAAAAATTTGGCCTATGATTTATTTTCTCTGCTTTATAACGTGTTTCGTATCGAGCTTTTTGGATAATGTAACAACGGTTATTCTGATGACGCCGGTGGCTATCAGGTGGGGTCGCATGTGACTTATGGGGTTTTCAATAATTTATTTTAATTTTTTTTTTATAGACTCTGCGAGGTTATGAGCTTGGATCCTGTGCCGGTGCTTTTGGGCATCATAGTACATTCGAATATTGGCGGTTCACTGACGCCCATTGGTGATCCCATATCGATCATTATCTGTTCCAATCACTTCTTTATGAAAAACGTAAGTCGGAAAATGTGGTTAAAAGCAATTGTTAAGAGTGGGATGAGTTTCAACAAAGAGACTGGAAGGAAGTAATAATGATCAGGAGAGAAGTCTTGAACTTCTCTCTGTATCCAGTTTCAGGCTCTCGTGCAATGCTTACTAACTTAAGCAAAATTCGGTACAAAAGAGGTATCTACTGCCTCAGCTTGTTATGAGTCCCGTTCCTTAGCATTTAATCTGGTAAAAGGGCGACTTCCTTGCTTCGGGTCCCTGATAATGAAAAAATCTTGTTTTCTGATGAGAAAAAGGGTCTGTAGTCTCCCTAATAACTACTACTCGGGCAATATTGGGTAAAGAGTGGATAGGCTAATGCCAATAGAGCTTCCCTTACACCAACGATGACTGAATTATAAACAGTGTGTATCACAATGCAAAGGATCTTGGGCTCGATTCCTAAAATACCAGATTCAAAAATTATGAAAAATCTTTTCCGCATTATTTTTCTAACTAGTATCGCACCTCCCTCGGAGTCTCAACCCCGTCGTGGTGTATTTTCGAGGTGAAATGTAAAAGTTTCTCATCAAAATCCATCAGCTGTTCGAAGGCGGTTTAAAGAACTGTTAGTCTACCCACTGCAGCCAACATCAAATTCATATAAATAAAAAATTTACCGAAATTTTCTAATTGCGGTCATCCTTCGGAAGGAAATGTCAAACCCTAAGAGTGTATGTATGACATGAAAATCAAAAGCTTCTCAAAAAAAAGATCACCAGCCGTTCGGAGGCGGCTTAGTAAAAACTGTAGACCCCTCCACTAGTTGGAAAGACATTAAGACGCACACCTCAATTTAGAGGAGGAGTTAAATCGAAAAATCATTTCAGAGGTTATAAAGTAAAGAGAGTAGTGAGATGTGGTTTCAGCTCTCCAGGCTTTTATATTTCATAAGGACAAAGATGCCTGAGCCTTTCAAAATATTACACGCTGTTGTTGGAGAAAGTAGAGTGATCTCTTCTATGTTTAATGGAGGATTTGGGGAAGTTTAATGAAGAAACTGGAATTCACATCAAAGAATATTCATCTTCTTCTTAAATCTTATATCTGGTTTAATACCTCAAAGCCATTTATTTGCTTTTTTTTCTGCCTCCTCAGGGCATCACGTTCACAAAATTTGTCACTCACACTCTACCCGGCGTGTTGCTCGTGACCATACAGAGTTGTATATACTTACGTTTCGCCTTCCGTGACCCACAGTCGTTGCGACTCAACGAACCGAAAGAGTTTAAGGACCTGCGACGTGAAATTAAAGTTTGGCAACGTGCCGCAAATTCACTCTCATCCTACTCCAAAGACGCGGACCTTGTGCGCGCCACGTTGCATAAAAAAGTGAAAGTGTTGAAACGTACGCTACGCCGTAAACAACGTGGATTGGATTCCAACGATGCATATACACATACATTGCAGGAGCTCAAGCTCAAGTATCCCATCAAACATAAGACATTGTTATTGCAGGCATGTGTGGCCTTGGCATTTGTGCTTGTCTGTTTTTTCGTACAATCGGTGCCGAAATGGCGCACATTGCCATTGGGTTGGTTGGCATTGCTGGGAGTTATTGCATTGTTGATTGTCTTGAATCGTGACGATATGGAGCATCTGTTGCATCGCATCGAATGGACGACTTTGCTATTCTTCGCCGCCATGTTTGTGATGATGGAATGTGTGGAGCGTTTGGGTTTGTTCGCATGGATTGGTGAGCTAACGAAGAGAATTATCTTATTCGTGGACGAACGACATCGCTTAGCAATGGCTATATTTATTATACTCTGGATATCGGCAATGGCCTCGGCCATTTTGGATAGCATACCAGTGACAGCGATGATGGTGCGTGTGGTGGTTTCGCTGGTGAGTAGGGAGACATTGGGTTTGCCATTGGAGCCGCTCGTCTGGGCGTTGACTTTCGGTTCGAGTTTGGGTGGTAAGTGCTGGTGGAGCCTTTTTTTGTTGTAAAAATTATTCATTCATTTCATTTTTCACACTGTAATAACCAGGAAATGGCACTTTGTATGGCGCCTCCTCGAATGTCGTCTCGGCTGGTATTGCCGAGCAGCATGGTTATAAAATAAAATTTACACGCTACTTAAAGTGAGTACTACAATAAAAACACGAAGCAGAGATAAGACAAATCTTCCAATAATAACTGTATATTTTTATTTTTATTTTTTTTTTTTGGGTATTTTCCCCACACAGAGTTGTATTCCCAATGATGGTCGGCCAAATTATTATCATCACCGCTTATCTTATATGGGCACACATAGTCTTCGAGTGGCATAGCGAGTAGTTATTGAGCTGTCAAGGTCAAAGGTCACGAAGCATTCAATTAAAGGCCTACCTACAAATATATATATAAATAAATATATACAAGTTAGTTGTTAGTGTTATGCATAAAATATTACATCTATATCCTCATATTTCTATTCAAAAATGTTTCCAAAGCGTTTTCAACTGCTCATTGAATTTTATTAAGCAAAATTTTTTTTCGCTTTTAGAAATTTTAACTAAAATCTAAGCTGAATTTACATTCAAACCCTGATATATGTATATACATACATACATTAGATTAAATTTGTATCATATACTTTTACTCTATACATATTGGTATGTATGTACGTCTTTATATGATTTTATTTACAACAAAAGTATTTTTGAATATAAATTTTTTCGTCCACTTCACATGGGCATTCTGAAATAAATGTTAACAGACTTTTTGATTGTGATTTATTGAATTGTAACGAAAATTATAGAAAGTGATTAACCGTTAACGACACTTAAAATAAATAAAAGTAATATTATCTTAATGTTTTTTTTTTTTTGGTGTTGTTATTTTTTTACCAGGGATTTGCCATTTAAAAATTGGTAGATAATTCATTAAAATGTTTACAGTGGTCGTCATCGCAAGGGGAGTATCTCAGCCGCGGCTGTTGGCTCTTTCTCATTGCAGCTGATTTCAACGTGGTGGGTCTCAAAGCCAGCGCACAAGCTTGCTCGTCGTACGTGTATAAGTTTTTTACATCTCTGGTGAACAGAAGCTGCAATTAGATTTCAATGAATGCTTAAACCGAATATGTCGGAGTGGCATCACTGAAGTTACCACTCTTTCAACTGTGACCCAAGGCTCAGCACAGGTTGGTTACCGCATCTTATACAAGGGTTGTTCACGTTTCCAGGGTGCGCGCCTCGTGGGCACAAGAGTAGGCCCCTCGACTGTAACTACACACCCAGCAGCTTGACTACACCCCATTACAACCCAAACTAAGGTTTAAGCTGGTGATCGATGCCTAGAACATACTAAGCTAAGGTAGGGAATACTTTGCTGGCCTGGTCAATGAAAAGATTTCCGAGTACCCGACTATGATGAAGGTCCAATATCAGATGTCCGCTTAAAGAACAATAAAGCGGCGAGAGTGGATGGCTGACTGGCTGAGAGATTCAAATATGACGGTGAAGAACTGGCTAGACGTGCTTCCATCAGCTAGTTTTCAGAACATGGTCAGACGAAGGCATGCCCGACGTTTGGAATTTAAGTGTGCTCTGTTCAATCCATAAAAAAGGAAACCCCCTAGTCTGCGCCAATTATCGTAAGATAAGCTTCCTTCATATCGCGTAATAGGTCCTATCAAGCGTATTGTGTGAGAGACTAAAGCCAAGCGTCAACAAACTGATTGAACCTTATCAGTTTGGCTCTAGACCTGGTAAGTCAACCCTTGAACGGAAATTCGCGAAAGGAGGATCAACACTCACCACCTCTTCGCCGATTTGAAAGCCACCCTCGACTGCCTTTACGCAGCAATGTCTGAAATTGGTATCTCCGCAAAACTTATACGGTTATGTAAGTTGACCTTGAGCAACACTAAAAGTTCCGTCAGGATCGGGAAGGACCTCTCCGAACCGTTCGATACCAAACGAGGTTTCAGGCAAGGCGACTCATTATCATGTGACTTTTCTAATTTGATTCTGGAGAAAATAATACGAGCTACTGGCGTAGGCCGATGATCTTGACATTATTGTCTTCAACAACCGCGCCGTGAGTTCTCCTCTAGACTGGATAAGGAAGCGAAGCAAATGGCCTGGTAGTGATCAACGGGAAAGACGAAATTTCTCCTGTCAGCACACAAACAGTCATCGCATTCGTGACTCGGCTTCCACGTAGAAAATTCTTCTATCTTCAAACCAGCTTTAATAACAAAAATAATGTCAGCCTCGAAATCTAACGTGGAATCACTCTTGTCAGGAGGTATTATTTGGGACTTAATAGTCAAGTACAAGTCTTTTATAATTTTCGTTCTGCTATAAGGCGTGGACGATGTCGACACCTGATGTGTCAGCCTTGGGAGTCTTTAAAGGAAAAAGTTTTGGGCATTGGCAGCGGTAGACCATAGAACAGTGAGCTGTGCAAGATAAGCGGAGACATTGACTTACGAGTATGTAGTTCAGAGGATCAAGAGACAACGACTCCGCTGGCGAGATCATGCCATCCAGCTTTGAAAGTTTTCGATGCAGTACGCGCTGGTGGAAGCAGAGGAAGAGGGAGACTTCTGCTCCATGGAAAGACTCAATTGCAGAGCGACCTCGTTTCACTTGGTATTTCCAATTGTCACAAGGCAAAAGACGAAAAAAAGTAATGAACCCTAAGCGGTGCCAATGCTCCAAAGGTATTTTTCTATTTATTTCAGTAATATCAGAAGAATATCAACTGAATATACTTGTGACTACTGAAGAAGAGTTCACTTAGAATCTCCTAATTATACACATTAAATCAGAGAAAATTAGTATCAATATTAAAAGAACTCCCAGTATTATCAATTAAAAGTCCTAACTCAACATAATATGATTTTAAAAATTTATCTCATTTGAACGTTCGCATAAAGAATGTCGCAAACTCGCATCGCACCTAATGATGTCATTGTCCTTCCAGTGATTTTTTACTGCTTTAAGATCTTCTTCAAAAGCACTTGATTTTGTCAGAGCTTTCCAGCCTTATCTTCATGCTATGCTCTGGCTATGCCTTTATGTTTGAAATTAAATAGAAGGAAAATAAGAATCTTCTTCGTGTAAGCTCCATGCGCCAAGTAAAGAAATAGCACCACTATTCAGACAGCTGTTAGGCAAGTGGGTGAGCATTACTTTGTAAATGGCAGAATAAAAAAAATTTCAGATGTTGCTTTTTTATTATCATAGTGAGAAGTGCCCTTTATACCTTCGTATCTCCGTAGAGCAGCCATCTGTAAAGGAACATGGATCCATTCAGCAACATCTGCGAAAGATCGAACGAGCTCCTTGTTTGTTTTTAGGCTACTGCTTCTCCATAATCTCCGGTGCTTCGGAGAGAGGGGCCTGTTAGGAAAATCTTGAGAAATACCCTCCGAAAGCATAAGCTTTGGTCCTCATCGCTTTATCAAGAGAAATCCATTATGAAGACCTTCACAAGCTACTCTCATGATGAGAGCAAGATATGGCATACGTTGAAATGTTTAGCCTTAAATCGATATGTTGCATTCCATGTTTCTGGAAAACACTTGTTGGATCCCTCTCATGTTCAAACACATAAGCATATTCCGTATTAGCAGTTCGTCAAGCAAATATTTTTGGCACGCAGATTAATCTTATATAAATAAAACCAATGGACATAGAAACCATAATAGCATGCTTGTATATACACGTATGCATGCACATACATATATATATGCATTAACAAAAAGTCGGTAAGTTGACCAGAAAGAAAATCTTTTTGTATTTATTCGTAATCTTTGTCCCTTTTTATCTTATTATGTATTTTGATCGCCATTGATTTCACTGCAGTTCTGAAGCCCATATATTCAGTTCTGCAAACAGTCTTCAAAATCTTGCTTTATTTCCTCGTAGGAGATTTAATAAATTTAACTAAAATTAAATAGAAATACAAAAATAAAATGAATTCAAATTAAATAAAATTGTATTACATAAAACAAAATTAAATAAAGAAAAATCAAATGAATTAAATAACTTTATTGGACTAAATTAAAATAATTAAAGTGAACTGAAGAAAAATAAAATAAAATAA